TACTACACATTTTTACTATCCCTGTCATGGATTGTGTGGTTGACTTTGTACTTTACAATCTGTCTCATTATTCTATGGAGATTCATCGGATATAAATTGAACACATATATATTTTCTTACTACTCGATCGCAATTTTGTTGCCGAAAGATTTCAGAATAACAGGAATTCACCAGACGACAATGGCACACTTACTAGTATATGTGATGTGTATTTTGAGTGCCTTAGTCGTACATTTATTTATAGCATCGTTTGCACATTTTTACAGAATATCAAAACTCTACAGGCCATTCGAATTTAGTGACATTGGTAATTTCAACTATGGAACATTTTTGAAAAGTGAAATGAGACTACTATTCAGGAGAAATAAATAGCTGAAATCAAGCAAAGCTGTTACAGGAGCTATAAAAAGTTATTTTCTGCAATATTAGTGAAATATTAACTAACAATATTCTGTACAAATAGATTTAAATAAAGACTTATATTAAAGGTAATCCTTTAGTTTTACTGTTTCAAAACTACATCAAACAATCAGATAAGCAGAAATTTAAAATAAAATTTAGTTTTATAATTTTAATGTTAAATATAAATGAATTATTGTAGTCTCAACACTTTTTTAGCAAATTTCCCTATATTGAAGTAGCTATTACCGTAGGTGGCATGGTAAGACCTAGGCCTAGGACCGATTTACTTTTTCATTTTGATGTCCCCAGAGGCCAAAAACACAATCCGTTCAAAATATTATATACATGTGTCCGTAAACGATAACTTGAGTAATTTTTTTCCGATTTTGATTTGGCTTGAAGGTGTAGGGCAGGATAAACTTGAATGAGTTTGCAAACAAGCATGATCAGACCATGGGAACAGGATTTTATGTGGTGAAAATGGGTTTTTCTAATTTTTGACCCTCAAAACACAATGTTTCCTTATTTTTCTCTAGACCATTTTAAAGAGCTTAAAAAACAAATGATTTAGTTTATTTTAGTGTTTTCGTGCGGTCATTGGTTACGGAAAAATTACAAAAAAACTGTTAATTTGAAATCCTCACGTTTTTCATATGGAGAATATTTTAAACTGTTTAATGTGATTTTTATGGACACATTTTGATCAAACTTGGATATATTTTTTTTAAATTTTATACTAATCTTACTATACTAATGTTATAATACTAATATTATAAATGTGAAAGTTTGTGTGTTTGTTTGAAATTCAATCACGCATTAACTACTGGACGGATTGGGCTGAAATCCTACAATCCTACAATCCTACTTTGACAGTTCTCATTGCTTACCACAGTTTTTTGCTGCTGCTTAGTTCAAATTAGCTGTTTTCATAAATGATAAAAAAATAATAGTGCTGCACCCTGTTGGTAAATCTTATAACTTTTAATGCTTTTGCAAATCATAGAACCAACTTTTTCAGTTGAAACAGCTGACTAAATTCTTTAATTCCCTTTAAATATGAATACTCATAAGGTTAACATGGTTAACTTCAGAGCCACTGGGGCGGAGCCCGAAAGGATTTTTGAGATAAGAATATGCCTATATGTTAATCGGGAATGTGATCTATCATCATGCCAAATTTCAGCCCAATCCATCCAGTAGTTAATGCGTGATTGAACTTCAAACAAACAAACAAACAAATAAACAAACAAACACACAAACTTTCACATTTATAATATTAGTAAGATTTTGGAAAATACTTTCATTTCTTACTAAACTATTAAAATTTGACAAAAAAAATACTTCTTACCCTCCCTGTTACAGCAAACCTAAGTACTCGTTAAACTAATTCTATTTAAATAGGGAATAAATGTGATATTTTTAAGAAGGCATTTTAGTGTAAATTCAACCAGGCAAATGGAAATTCGCTAAGTCTGCAGGTTTGCTGCGGCGGGGGTATTTTTTATCATAATCTATTAAGAGTAGAATGTGATTGTCACTTTTGTTTTAAAATTTGAATGGTATATAATTAATGCTTATAAAAATACAATGAAGAGAAAACAGTTTTGATGTTTCTTGTAACAGATGGAAAAACATATTTATTTACTTCTTCATACAATTAGAGTTATAAATTGTACCTAACTGCTATCAGAAACTCATCAAAATAAAATTCTACAATTCCATTTATTTCATTCAACATCAATAAAAACAATACATGCCAATAACATAACATTTTAAACTTACAAAATTTTAACCAACAATACAACAAGATAACCAGCTTAAAAATGTCCAATAAAACTGCTTTTTCAGCAAAACACCCACCGATCACTGATTGCTTCCAACGTTAGCTTTAAAAGTAAGCTTTGCATATTCCTATTTTAGCAGAAAGGCGAGGTTTTAGCGAATTTCCCATATAGGGAATAAGCTATTACCGTAGTACTCATGGTAAGACCTGGACGCGGGACCGATTTTTTTTTCGTTTTGAGGTCCCTAGAGGCCAAAAACACCATCCGTTCAAATTCATATATATATATATATATATATATATTTATATATATATGTGTCCGTCAGCACGATAACTCAAGCAAAAATGATCCGATTTTGATGAAATTTGGTACAAACGTGTAAACCTACGTTTATTTGAACGAGTTCGCGATCCAGCATGATCGGACCATGGGAACGGGTGTTTACGGGGGGTTTTATGGGGTAAAAATAGGTTTTTCCCATTTTTGACCCAAAAAACTTAAAATTTTGCAATTTATTTCCAAACCATTTTGTAGAGCTTAAAAAAACAAATAATTTAGTACATTGAAGCGTTATTATGCGCTTAACGGTTACGGAGAAAATTCCAAAAAATTGTAAATTTAAAATTCCCATGTTATTCTTATGGAGAATAAGTAAACTGTTGTAGTTTGCTTGTTTATGAACGTATTTTGATCAAATTTGGAAAATTATTTTATTTCTTACTAACTATTAACATTTTACAAAAAAAAAAACACAATTTTACCCTCCCTGATGCAGCAAACCTAAGTACTTGTTAAACTAATTCTATTTAAATTGGGAATAAATGTTATATTTTTAAGTAGACATTTCAGTGTAAATCCAATCAGTCAAATGGAAATTCGCTTAGTCTGCAGGTTTGCTGCGGCGGGGGTATTTAACATGGCACTGATATTTAAATATAAGGTCAAATAATAATTCATACATATGCAACAGTGAAAACAATTTTTAGTCTCTTCAGCTGTGTTGGCAACCCTGACAAGGTGTAATAGATTCAAATTGCAATTTAATTGCCATTGCCATTTCTCCAGTTCACAAAAATTTCTACTTTTGTGTTGTATATTTTATGTGTCTCTATGGACTTATATAAAGGTAAGCCTGCTTTCCTTTCAATTTCCTTAATAATTCCAGGCAAATGCCTATATTTTTATTAGAAATAATAAGCTTATAAATGGCAAATTAAAAAAAACATATATTTAAAAAATCTCGACACTGTGTTTGAATTGTATTGTAAATAAATACTAGAGAGGGATTTGTTTTAACATTTTAAGATTTACTTGCAAATATCACTAGGATACCGGTATATCAAATATGAAACCATCTAAACAATAAATACCCCCGCCGCAGCGAACCTGCCGACTAAGCGAATTTCCATTTGTCTGAATTGATTTTCAGTTAAATATATTTTAATAACATTAGGTTTAACAAGTACCTAGGTTTGCTGCTACAAGGAAACTAATAAAGTGTGTTTTTGAGTAAAATATTGATAGCTTAGTACAAAATAAATAAATTTGCCAAGTTTGATCAAAATATATCCATAAACAAGCAAACTACAACATTTGATAATATTCTCCATAAGAATAACATGGGAATTTTAAATTTACAATTTTTTTAATTTTCTCCGTTACTAATAATCGAACAAAAATACTTTTATATACTAAATTATTTGTTTTTTTAAGCTCTTTAAAAAGGTCTAAAGAGAAATCGGGAAATTTTGTGTTTTAAGGGTCAAAAGTGAGAAAAACCAATTTTTACCCCATAAAACACCCCGTAAAGCCCCGTTCCCATGGTCCGATCGTGCTGGTTCGCGAACTCATTCAAGTTTATCCCGCTTTACACCTTTAAACCAAATTTCATCAAAATCGGACAAAAATTACTCAAGTTATCGCGTTCACGGACGTATATATATATAAGTCTATATATATATATATATACATATATAAAAATTTGAACGAATGGTGTTTTTGGCCTCTGGGGACATCAAAATGAAAAAGTAAATCGGTCCCGGGTCTAGGTCTTACCGTGCCACCTACGGTAATAGCTACTTCCCTATAGGGAAATTCGCTAATAGATGAGTTGTAACAGTTTAATAAAAAATTAAAAATATGTTTGAAACACAGTTTGGTTGAGCTTTAACCTCTCAGAAGTAATACCTGTTTGTACATAATTTTTACAAAATTATTTACAGGCGTAAAATACATTGTCAAGTAGGTTTGCAACAGAAGACACACTTGTGCCATTTTTTATCCAAAATGTTGAGAATATAATTATTATATTTATTGAAAAAAATATTACTGTACAAAAATTCACTTTGTTTGAAAATTGAGTACTGAGGAATTCTTTGCCCCAATTCAAAATCATAATGGAAGGAGAATCAGGAACAAAATAGAGTAGAGGGGCTTGTTGGCGAACCCAGATACTGTATAAATGTAAAAAAGCTGATTGACTAAGAATGATTGGAAGAACCTAGTTCAAAAGCACATCAATAGACTTGGCACTACACTTTAAGCAGCAAGCACATATGAGGTAAAATATCATTGGAGGCAAGATATAGCTATTGACCTTACAAGTGTAGTAAGAGCGTTTTTACATCACGCAGATGGATATTAGACCTCAGATTTAAATGGTCTAGTTGGAGCCATATTTTTTACTCAGAAAGAACACAGTTGATCGAACAAATTGTAATGGTATCTTGCTGTTTAAGTTACATTCTCCCAGTTTTACGTACTATAATTAGTAAACAAGGACATAAAAGAGGCTAAGCTAACAGAAAGACAAAATTTCTGGTTAGAATGATTTATTAGATTTTCCATTTGTTAGATTATGGTAAAGTAAACGGTGTTTTACAGTAATGAGTACAATACAAATTTGGTAACTAACCCCTCACTACAATAAGTTACAAATTGGCCTCATTACATTGTGTTGTTTATGTGTTAGGTTGCGTTATGTTTTTGTTGGCCGTATTAGTTTGTAGTACAATGTAGAGGCCAAGTTACATATTTATTTTGAGTATTTACAGCTATTAACAGGTCTAGGGATTCTGAACAACCTATGTATATTACAAGGTTCCCATGAAATATTTTATAAAAATTTACCAATGGCCAGTATAGGTAAAAATTTACCAATAGCCAGTATAGAATGTTAAGATTACAAAATGTGGTTGAAATGATAGAAAGAGTTTAGAAAGGCCAACTGGAAGACAACCATTAAGAAACAATGACCAAGCTATTAAAGAAGTGAGAAGAATCGGATGGGAAGTTGACTTGGCGGATCGCGGATAAATCTAGAGTCAACTTGTTGGAGAGGCTAAAAATCGAATTGGATTTGAGAAGTCACAAAACAAGACAAGGACAAATTGTTTGAATAAGTAAATTTTTAGCATTTCTAAACACAATCAGTTTTGTGTTTTATGCATTTTTATAACATTTTTATTTTTATGTTTGTACCCATAAAATTCATATTTATATAAATCTCGTCCAATGACATGGAAACATTGGAAATCCAAACTTTTACTTCACTAAAATCACAGCCTCTTCAATGTATAAAAATAGTTTTACAAAACTATATCTACTATTTTGTACAGATATTTTCGAAACTTTGTACGCTACACTTTTGATTAAACCCTAAATTTTCATAAAACTAGGTTTAGAATATTCTAACAAATGCAGGGTAATTTTGCTCCTGTTAAGTTAGACTCAGGTAAATTTATTTCTTCGAGTTGCATCATTGACTGGGACCCCTACTACTCAAGCGCTGCAGCACGTTCATCACCATCTCTCGGAGTGTCTGGAATAAATACAGTTGAATGTTCTGATTGTATGGCCAGTCGAATAGCACTAGATAATTACACAAAAGCTGGTCCTCCTGAGTTCATAGAACTAGCGAGGAAATAGAATAATACCTGGGGTTTGCAGTGTTCTTCCAGCCAGCCAAAAACACAAGCAGACAATTCCGGGAAGTTGTTGACGGATATGTTACTGAATGTCAGAAACAGCTGTTCTATGATACTCTGAAACTGAGACAAATCCAAAGATTAGGCGATTGCAGAGGGTCATCAGCAGCTAAACTAAATCTTTGTTATTACTATCAGAAAAAAATCAAACCTAGAAACTTAAATTACAAACCATAATGCTCCATACCTTGCCCATTGTAAACCCCTTTTTGTTGAAGCAATAGTCCTTACAGTGCCAGCAATATTTATTTTGGAATCTACCCTCACAGTTAAGAAGAATCCGAACACGTTTCCTCAAAACAATACAATAGACAACTACTCAACAAGACAAAAAACAATACACATGTAAATCAAGTCAATTCAAGTTTAGTAAAAGACGGGCCAAAATTGTTATCAAGCATAATCTACAACTCGGACACGGTCCCCTTGAATATAAAAAACATTGAAGATCAAGATGAATTCAAGAGGAAATTCAAAGATTATTTACTGAAGAGGCCATATTATTCTATTGAAGAATATCTGGGGGAAAATATGACATAAAAATAAATTGACGACCACGGCGCAGCTGCGCTACCAGTGGGAGATCACCAAGTATCAAGTAAATAGTTAAACTCATCCAGATTATTAAAATAACCTTTTCTATGAATTACCAAACTTTTATTTGAGGGCTATGAGAAGTTGAAAATTTGTAAAATAAGGTGGAGCCGCTAAAAATTTTTATTTTAAATTTCTCAATTTGTAATTTACCACAGTATCTAAATGGAATATCAATTTTTATCAAAATACTTTTAGTAACAAGAGTTTGCAGATTAAAAAAGGCAGGAGAAAATTACCCTATGAGGACACACTAACAATGAGGCTAAATCTTCTCCTTCATTCAGATGGTTTTCACTCAAAACTTTAAAGTTCAAAATATATCCTGAGTGATGGTGTAGCTTAGCACAACAATTTAGAGCTGCATGGATAAACGGAAAATTAACTAACATCAATTTAAATTCAGTAGACAAGACAAGTACCGCTTTTTACCTCCAGATTTAGATTTCTCATTAAAAGTTTGATCTGTATAGTTAAATCACACTTACCACTTTAAACTTGAACTCGTCAGATACTCGCTGTTCCGTGAGGTTAGGTTGAGTTTGCTGCACTTTAACCATCTGTTCGTAGTTGCTCTGCATGATCCGTAGAGCCACCACCTGTGAATCAGCAATGTTTTATTGTCAGTTGATATAATTTGTTGAACTAAAAAGGAAATAAATTATTTTTACTGTTTTTCCAAAGAAAAAAAAAACATAAGTTTAGGATTCGCAACAAACAAGCGGAATCTAATATGCGGGATGAGAAATCCCTCATGACACTTAAGAAAATAAAATCTAAACATATACCAATCACAAACTTTCAAAATACTACTAACAATAAATACCCCCGCCGCAGCAAACCTGCAGACTCAGCGAATTTCCATGAATCCTGTATAATTACATGAAAGGCCTGACTGGTACTTGTGACAAAAGCTTAAAAAAATTGGGAACAAAAAAAATTGTTTGCCCCTTTATATTTTGAGAGGAAAAACTTTGCTTAGGAATACTTTAAAAGATGAGTCGGATAAACAGCTAGAGCTCATTTTAGAAATGAGTTCCGTAATTGCCAGCAAACAAAAAGTATGGCACAATGAACTTGGCATTTTGTCCCTCTAAAAAGGCTTCCCTAGAAAGAAACAGTAAAAATAGTAGCCCCCTTAGAGGAGCCACAGCCAAATAACAATTCCATTGTGTTGTGTTATTTAACACATATAACTTGTTTCTTGGGTGGATTTACTATGTCAATATCTGTTCCTTCTTTCTTCTCTTTAACTCAATTTTACTGAACCTTAAATTATAATTAGATTTAGACTGAAGCACTTAAATGATTCTTGAGAAATGTGCGATAAAGAAATGTTGTCTCTTGCCTACAAACCTCTTTACGGAGAGCGTTTCGTTCTTCTTCTTGCTTCTTCTTTTGTTGCAGCAAAAACTGAAAGGATAAACAACATTGTTAAATCAGTCTAAAACCCATACTACATTACGCCATACGTACTTGGTGAGTTGGTGGCTCAGTCGGTAGCGTCACGGACTTCGGGCCCAAGGCAGCGATGTTGTGGGTTTGGATCCTGGTCACTGCCAATAAAATTTACCAGTACAGTTCACCTTTGTACTGTACCGGCTCACCCCTTGCTTTGCTGGATACGTTCCACGCACGGGCAGTTAGTCTATGTGGACGGGCAAATGCAAGGTTAAAAGAGGCCGCCAACCTCTTATAAAAAAAAAAAAAGATAACTTAACAATCAAAAATCTGTACAAAACCTTACTCCCACCGTCTAAAGGACTAACAGTCACTACTCATCTTAGAGGTTATTTTTTTGTTTATAACCATTCATTGCCAAATATAATCAGCTGGTTGGTGACTGTTAAAAACTCATCACAGTACAGTAGTACGTAATGAAACCCCATTTAAATAAGCTGGCGGAAAATAGCTGTCTGGACTAAATCCTTGTGTGGTAAGTTCGTTAAAACAGTGTAGTGTGGCGTAAACTCCATTACAGTTATGGAGTAGCTATTAGATCTTCCAATGGGAATAATCAGAATTTATCAGTACCTAACTAACCTGTATGTAGTCTATACTCTTCTGCAGCACAGTGGCCTTGCTCAGCTTATACCCTGAAGTATCGTTCTGTTGACACGTCGGTACAAGGTCCTGCAGCGTGTCGTAACCCTTTTTAATGGCGTCCCGTCGCTTCTGCTCTGCCTGCGTGTGAGCTTCACGCCTACGTTCTTTGTAACTCATCTGAAGATCAGTAGAACTCTTGTTATCACTGTCGTCATCTTCTGCCACTAGTTCTTCACTTGCTACAAATACAAGCAGGTTGCAGAGAGCAGTTTGTCGTATAAATGACATAAAATAAAACTAATATGCCTTTTTCATACTAGGCCTGTTATGTTCAGCATATTTTGTAAAAATTAGCTAGTCCATCTTATATTTCAGAGGACACTGTACGATTTGATTCAAGCTTGGCCTAATGGAGGCCACACATGAGCACATGAGCTATTAACAATGAGTATTACTGAACTACCTAGCTACAAGCAAGACTTCAACTACAGCTTATACAATTAAGAGATTCCCAAATTAACCTAAAAGATTTTAGGGTTCTCTTGAGTCCAACAACACAGTCTCATCATCACTACTGCTTCGCTCATTTTTCACTCACGTCACACAATTACCTCGATTTGTCAACCAGGTAACTTAATCATGACTACTCCGTAGCTTGTAACACAAAGTGTTACGAGGCTTGTATGTCTAGGGTGCGGACGATTTGGTGTGTGTACTCACTCAGATCTTTTATACAAATTTCATTTGTATAACATCCAGGGAGTGGCCTTGAAACAACTTTTTCATACACACGAAAGTACACTTTCTAAACGTAAAATAAGCTAAGAAAATAGGTTATTCCCTCTACTGCATGGCAAAATTACATAATGTTAACTTTTAGTGCATTTGTGGTGCACGGAAAGAAACCCTTATGGATTATGCGGTGCAGACCGATCAGCTGTTGCATTGTTTTGTAGGCCTACCTCGACATACCCCAAGCAAAGGAAACTCAGCGTTGTGAGTTTGGTTTTTTTTATCTTCTGACTTTTTCTGGCTGACAAAAAATTTGTCGTATCAAAAAAAGAAATTATTGGCTTGGTAAGCTCTCTAACTCTCTGTGCTCTACTACCCAGCCAAGGGCCATCAGGCAAATCAGGGACCCGTATCAAAGAATTACACATATTTCATGGTCAAATACCATACAAAGTATCGGTATTTGATTTTATTTGCATTAGTACGTAATTAGTAACTTACAGTAACATAAAGCAGTTATTCAGTAAGACTAAGTAACGTACTCACCATGGCCACTGCTGCTGCTCATGTTGCTTGCACTGTTGGAGTGATACAGTCCGGCACCTGCACGCCAATTAGGGCTGTTAGGCTCAGCTTTCATACCTAAAAAATCACACCAATATTTAGGCTCACGTTACTGAAGCTTTTAAATCTCTAAATTAATTTTTGTTTCTTTAGAGTAGTAGAGTACATGACAAAAACCTTCCAATAAACACTATACAGTAATGAACTATCGTGTCATTTATTTGTTAGTAGGTTAACGTTATGAACTGATTCAAAATAAAGAGTAATTTATTTGTACTATATTAGGTCTTAATCACCATTATTTCAATCCAAGTGTTATATAAAACGCTGTGTTGTATGAAACTAGATGTACCGGTAAAAGGAAAACTTATTCAAACAGCATGTAGTTGGGTTTGTGGCTGCTTTCATCCAGTACCTAGGCCTATAGCCTAAATCACTAATGAAAAACACCTTGTTTCAGAAAACAGATTCTTTATTACACCAATAAATCCAATTAATCCTGGTGTTACAAAACTCGCTTCAAGTAGGCAAACGGAAACGTCCTGGAGGCAGCTTATACTCTTATTGAAATGTCCCAAAAAGAATTTGATTTCCCACACAGTACTAACAATTTGATCAAATCCAATAAAAATTCCCTTTATCAGATACATTAAAGCAATCCCTTAATCCTTTTACTCTAAGTCAGGGATCCTCCCTAGGAATTCTCAGAAAGCCAATTGGTTTGCATCCAAATTTCCTCAGGGCTGCAAGGAGTGGTGGCTCATAATTGCTTTGGGGGTGTGGGGTAAACATCCGTGGGGTTGGGAGGGTATGGAATACAAATGAAAAGATGGGTCCGGGGGCCATCCAAAGGAAAAGTTAGTTGAAAATAAAAGCCTAAAGAAATTCCTAACGGTCCGAGGGCAGCAAAAAAAAAATCGTCCCATGCAGCCCGCCTGCTCTAAATTTTGTAAACTGGCTAAGGGCATAACATTGAGACAAGAGTAACCAGTACTCAACAAACCTCCTAAGGGCAGCTTGCACCGGCCGACTGACCCCTTTCCATACCTCAGGTGGCCTATTTATTGAACTAGACAGCAACTGAGTGCAAGGCCCACAACATTTACATCAACACCTCCAGTACGCTTCCTAGCTTACAAGGTCTGACCAAAGGTCATCAACCCAACTTGGCTAGCCTATTCTCCATTATGTCATAGGTTGGGCTTGGAGCACATAATACAGTATGAATAAAACTTTGATATCCGACAAGTGTGAACTTCTCATGTGATTTTTTTACTTTTGGTTTCTTTCTAGCAATTCTAAGCACATTTTTCCCTCTGGCACTTGAGTCCAAAAACTGTTTTCATCCCGAAATTTGTATTTTAAGGTTGCTCTAAACACTATTATTTTGTCAAATTTAGAAGGTTATTTCAGGTTATTTGTTTACTAGCCTATAACTTATGGATAGGCCTATTTAAATGTCAATAAGTGGTTTGAAGTGCCAGTACCAGCTGACCAAACAAAACATCCAACCACCAACTGGCGTCTCAGGTTTCTGGTCAGAAACCGATCACCGATGAAAACCTCTTCTGCGAAGGAATTGGGGGGATTGTGACGGAGCCACTTACGTCAATTTAAGAAAAATTATAATCAATTTTATAATTTTTTAATTACCGTATAAAATTATATCGTCATAACCTCACAATCAACCAAACTAGCTGATAATATAAAAAAGATAGGCCTATAAGATAAAAACGGATGAAGGTTTACTAATCGAAAAAATAGTTCTGTTCATAAAATTAAATTAAATGCCTCAAATTCTAACGAAAGATGTACAGTTAAAGAAGTAATCACTACTAGCAGGTCAAAACTAGTTGTGGAATACAACAATTGGATTACCTACCATAATCAGGTATTCAAACCATATTATTAATTACAACTGGACTACTGAACCTACATTAAAAATCCCCTATGTATCAAAACCTTACCAGCCTAACCCAACCTTTACAGATAGTAGTTTAGGTTGTTAAAATTGTCAATAACAGCTAAGCCAAACTAACGTTAAAGCCTAACCTAACCCGACCTTTGTGAATATGCTTATTTAAGGGCTTGTGTTGGGATGAGATGGATAAGGTGAAGTTAGCTGTTACCAGCAGTTTTAACACCACTAACCATAAGTTAACTTCTATACTTAGCTATCGATTGTAACAGTCGATAATTAAGTTGGAGCTAAAGTTAGATATCAAAGTGTTTACCCCTTGAGCAGATATGTCTTAGCAAATGTTGGATTGAGTCTAAAATAAAAGCTTACTTACCTGTGGAACCAAAATAAAACATGTTACGGTAACTGATATTCAAGTAACTTAAAACTTATTCACATAGGCTTCTAAATCTCCACATTTACAAAAAATCCAGTTTATTACCGTGGCTTCACAACATACACACTTTTAAATTAAAAATAAATTAATATTGAACAGCCTCTTTCAAAGCGATCTTCATCCTATTCCAAGTTAACTAAAGTTAACTACTACTGTTCTTAACCTAACCAGTTCCAACACAAAACTGACTTACTTTAACTGATATGTTATTAAAAGATAAACTTAATCAATAAATACTCTGTCCCTCATATCACATCATTAAACCACAGAGAATAGAGATAATGTCCCTTCTTGGATAAAGTAATGAAAGTACAAGATAAGACTTATCAACAACTGAGGTCATAACCCTATTTTTCATTCATAGATTAAATTGCTTTACAATGTTGAATATTGCTTGTAGGTATAAATAATAACCATAATAATAATAATAATAAATAAATAATAATAACAATAAGTAAATAATAACAATAAATAAATAATAATATAAATAATGTTGCAAAAATCAAAATAAAGAAAGTTTATGACTTGTGACTGTGGTCAGATTAACAAGCAGCCAGAAACTCCTTCAGATATGATATCGATTTATGTCTACTTCTACAGTTAGTTATTAGATTGACGATTTCGGAAATAAAAATACAGCCTGATAATAGTTAAAAGTTTTATATTTCAGAAAAATTCCATGAAAATTAAAATTTGTTTTAACATCTTACGGAACTACAACTTACAAAACTCTTACAAGGCAATTAAAGCTGTTGGCTGATCAAAGGTTAAATCCTTCACAATTAAATTAAACTACTGATTTTTTTATCGTAACAACTTAGTCCTTTATTTGCATAGTCAAACGCAAAAGCTAGACAAATTTAATACTAAGTTTAATAGTATGAACAATAAACGAGGCCGTTGTGAAAACTCAAAACTCCCTTCTTCAGGACCTTCTTTGTTATGTTCAATGTGTTCGTTCAATGTTGTGATGTTGACGTTGCCTAACCAGCTGTAGCTGAAACCACTGCTGAAACGTCTGCTACTCTGCTTTTCTGCAGACTATAAAGCGCATAGTGTAAAAAGTAAAAATTATGAGCAGGATTTCAGGATAAGGACTATGCCACGGCCTTCGAAGTGGCAACGACGCAAGTGGTGTTGTAACAGCTGGTTTTGTTTGGCAGCAGATAAGGCAGCTAATGGTATTTGTATATTTAAGAAAGCTTGGTTACTGGACTATGACAATATTGACTCCACTTTAGAAGTACAAAAATTGATTTTCTATTTAAATATTGTTTTTGTTTTCAATCTTGCAATAAATTTATGTTCATAAATTTTAATTTTAATGAATAATACGCGAAATAATGAGCTGTGGTCACCTGTCTGCAATGTTATCTTATGTGACGTCTAGCACTAGACAACACCACTTGCGACGTTGCCAATTCTACCAGGCCACAGCCTGTAGTTAAGGGCGGCCGTGACTAGGCTCAACTTGGGGGGGGGGCAATTCCACCCCGTACACATTTGGTTTTCCGACAGGTGGTACAATTCTACCACGTACATGGTACATAAATAATTTGATGTTGGCAGGTGATACAATTCCGGGCCGTACATATCCTTCTTTCTCTTTAATTTTTAATATAAACTGTCTGGTTCACTCATCACTCTGTCCACATTAAATAGATTAGATTTCGTTAAAATCAAAGTGTACGAGGTGGAATTGTACCCCCTCTAGGTGTGACGTCAAAATTACGTCGACGATTACTGGGGGGGGGGGGGGGGAAATTCCGGCGACCCCCAAGGAACTTTATCTTTGATGCGTAGAGTGAACCTGAATTTCGTCCAGAGGGAGGCCAAATCATTGTTTGATCGATTTGATAAACTGGATGAATTAGCTGTGTTTTGTCTGTATTGATTTCTAAAAATAAACTGTCGCCAAACCATTGAATTGCAGCGTCTGCCTCCAAAAAACTAGTTTGTTCCAGATTTAGAAAATCGGAGCTAGAAACTGAAAGAGGGGTTCGGTCATCGAAAATTGAAAGCATTGAGGAAGCTATGCGGGAACACTGGGAACAGAGGTTGTTAATAAAAAGGAGGAGAAGGACTGGTCCTAGGACAGAACCCTGATGCACTCCCTTTATCAACAGAATTCTCAGCAGAAGGGCAGGATCTAACGCAACCAGTCTCCTCATCTCCCCTATAAGAAATAACATGGGAATAAAAAAAATCATTTTGTAATTTTGTCCCAACCCTTAAGGACACATTTACCTAAAAAGCTCTGCAAAATAGTTTAGAAATAAATAGAAAATGTTGTTTTTAAGGTAACAAAATGGAAGCCAATTTTTACCTTACCCCATAAAACCCATTTCTCAGTCCGTCCCTTTCTCATATGAATGGAATAAACAGGTTAACGTTGCAAAATTTAATAAAAATCGTATGATTTTTTTCTCTAGTATCATGATTTTTATCGGAGTAGTTTTGGCCTCTGGGGACATAACAATGAAAAAGTTAATCGGTCCCGAGCCCGAGTCTAGGTTTTAAGTATGTTTTATCTATGGTTTTACCATGTGAATGCGACTACAACAATGGTCATCATAGACTAACCAAACCATGGTGGTACGCCTAATAATCCCTATGAGAAATTTACTGACACACAGTGAATGATAAAGAATTAGTAATAACATCAATCAATAATAAACATTTCATTGGAAGGTCAACATCGACTGGGACATTTAAAGACTAATTGAAATTTGTATTTAATAAAGAAATTTAAAATTAAAAAAATATTGAAGGAAGAAAATGGTGAATTGATCAGATTTATAATTTGGTCGGAACGTCATTAATGATTAATGAATGACATATGAAGTCAAACTAATAAATTTAACTTTTATAGACATTCCTAATAATAACTATAATATCCGAAGAGATTTCTACATGGTCAGTTTTTTAATAAGAAAATGTTTTAACGTGTAGTAAAGAGGGCTTTATTGATGGTATTTTAAAATGGTAAGTGGTTCGAAGTGAAGTTATTCACTTGATGTGTTTACCTCACGATCAAAACACAGTTGACCTTGAAGATATTCCCTATTTTTGTTTATTTTAATGTCACGTGACCAATCCCGTCCAATCACAGATATTGTTTTCTGCAGCGTCGCCTGCGCGAGGAAGATGCGCAGTAAACATGCAACTACACAAAATGCCGTCAGAATCTAAACCTTTGTTGACAGCTCAAACAGAGAAGCCCAACCATTATTCGTAAGTGATTATCTATTTTTGTATGCTTAATTGACAATGTTTAGTATTTATTCGTCGTAAAATTATTGGATTTACACTCAACACTATTTTGTTTACAGGTATCTTAAAGAATTTCGCGTCGAACAATGTCCGCTCTTCTTGCAACACAAATGTACTCAACACAGACCTTTCACTTGTTTTCATTGGCATTTTATGAATCAAAGACGACGTAGACCTGTGAGAAAACGGGATGGATCTTTTAATTATAGTGCTGACAATTATTGCACGAAATATGATGAAACTACTGGGCTCTGTCCTGAGGGAGATGAGTAAGTAGACATTTGTTTTGACTGCCATTTTAGGCTAGATCAGAAGTAAACATCAGTTACAATGACATTAGTTTGTAAACTGTATCCTTTATCTTGTGTTATTCTTTACATTGTTTATGAGTTTGAAAATGAAACTGCTAAACTTAGTTAGATTTTCCAAGATGCCACTGTATTCCGCTGCAGATTGCATTGTTAATTAGGTACTTACTTAAAGAAAAAAAAAAAATAACTAGTGAAAAAAATATTTAGCCTACTTACAATGCAGTTGGACTGAAAAAAAAACAGGAAATTAGCCTATTCCTATCACATTATTTTTGTATGGCCTAAAAATCTAACCACAATTTATGATGTCTTTGTTTTTATTCTGTAAATAAGTTAAGATAGTAAGTTAACTTATGGTGTATTACATTGTCGTTAACTTATTTAGGCCTAGTCCCCAAAATAGGTGGTTACCGGTCGAGTAGGCTTAGGCTCCAGTAAACACATTTTGAATGAGTGAATTGAGATTTTTTTTTGCTATGAACTCAGCATAACTTAAGCCTATGACAACCTTTCTAAATTGACTAAGTTAGATGATTAAGCTTTACGTTGTTAGATCTAACTTAACTTATCTATATTGAGGCTACTTACTTAACTTAATCTATTAAGAGGCTAACTTAAGTTATGTATATCCTTAACAAATTAAGTCTAGACAAGCCTTAAGTTATTTTATAACTATTTAAATAAGGCTGCTTAACCCTTAAACTCGCCTAGTCCAAATTCAAGTGTAAAACCTTAAAAAAAAAAAAAAAAAAAAAAAAAAAAAAAAAAACCAATGTGCCAGGGACGAATGTAAAATATTTAATGAAATATTTACTGCTTCCATGGTTTTTTACAAGTATGCCCCATTATACTTTTGTAAAATTAAAAAAAATAATGTTTGTTTGCAATAAAAACTTGTTTAACTACGATTTTCCCCTCTTCAACACCATTATTACAATTCATCATTAAACAATTTAAAAAGGTTCAAACTATTATTTTCAAAATAGTTAAAGGATATGGTAGGATCATAAAATTTTCATAACAATATGAGAAAATGAATAGATATTACTATGTCTAACGTTTAACACTAATACCGAAACCCTACCCAAGCTGACGCTAACCGAAACCCTCGGTCTGTGAGACCCTATTTAAAAATAATGGACCCCGCTTAGATACACACAAACCGAAACCCTGGGCCTGTGAGACCTTGCTTTAAAATACATTAACGCTGGGCTTCTGGGACGGACATGTTATGAACAACCTCACGGTCACGGCACCCACGCAAAATGAACAAACAATATATCAACGCAACAAACAACATATCAAACAATATATCAAGCAAAATATCAAGGTAGGGGAGGAAAAGGGGGAAGGTTTTGGGGAAATGGAATCCCCAAGTATTCTGTGTTGCCAACATGGGTTAGTGAAAATTCCCGTGGGTCTGTATTTTACAGACCGGGGTTTCGGTATTAAGTGTTAAAGAGCTAAAGATCAAAAACTTTTTTTATATATCCATTTTTATTTGGGGGTCCACTAGACCCCCACGTGCGCTCCAGCATAAAAAAAAGTGCACGCTTAAGGGTTGGATCCTAATTTATGGTTGTGGCATATATCTTTTATTAAGTTATAGCCGTAGCCTCAAAAAGGGTTTTTATCGTCTACCAAAAGGTCGCACTGTGAGGATTGCTTGAGTCTGGCCAAGTTACAATGTGTCAAATCAAGTAAAATTGGCCAAACTTAAGTTAAGTAACTTACCAATTGATAGAAGCAGGCCCATGACTTTTGTACTGTACCGTTATTTCTTTGTAAAGTTATTTCTGATGCTGAGTTTGCTATGAAATCTGTAGGCCTAGTTTGGCATTTTAATCTTGTTTTCTTTCCAGGTGTCCCTATCTCCACCGCACAGCTGGAGACACAGAGAGGCGCTACCACCTGCGCTACTACAAGACCTGCATGTGTGTTCATGATACAGACACACGTGGTTTCTGCGTCAAGAATGGCCCTCACTGTGCCTTTGCACACGGCAACCAGGATCTGCGCCCTCCCGTGTACGACATTAAAGAGATACAGGTTAGGACTTGCATTTGGATTTTTAGGACCTGATGAAAAACTAGGTAGCCTATAAATAGGCTATATTTTAATTGATTTTGGACCCAGATTCCATTCTAAGTTATATCAATAACACTCTAAACCATTCATTAGTGATAGTACCAAGGGACCGAGCATGCTTAGTGGTGTTTAATTTTTTGAGAGGTTAACAATAGGCAAAACATAGACCAACATATTTTTTTTCATTTAAAATAGGTAATATTTTGTACATAGGCGCCTATATGTAATAAAAGAAATTTCATAGAGACATTTTACCATACTGAAGTATTGGCACTATTTGTACTCATCCTTTTTTCACAATTTCGCATATTGAGTCATCAAAACTCATTAAACTCGCATTACTCTCACAGTCAACAAAATGTGGTTAAAAATAAATAATTAAGTACCGGTACCTACATTACCTAGCCTAAAAAAAAAAAAAAAAAATAACACTGTTTGTCGCCAGGAAGTGCAGGTTTTCTTTGATTGTTCAACAGCCTATCCCTATAGAGTAATGGGAAAAAAAACCTCTTGTGATCATTAAATGTTTGAAGAGTTGAAAAGCCTCCTGAGCAATTTGTGGTTAGCAGCGTAGAGTTATGATGTAGAACTATTTGTTACAGGCTCTGGACTGTTCAGATGGAGACAACGCGTCTTGTAATGGACCAAACGTTCTCGACAAGGAACGCAACCTGATGAATGAGGATCCCAAATGGCAAGGTGAGTCTCCTACTCAACTGCTTGAAAATAACTTTCTCGTTTCACAAATAGTTAGCCTACCTATTTATCATTAGGAGTACGCTGAATTACCATAACACAATCAAATGTTAAAGGTTGTTGAGTTTTCTGTTAATTAAACTGTAAGCCTACACGTCCCATATTTAGATAGGCCTAGGACGAGTGTTGGATGGGCGGTGCCTTGTGTAGCCTACCAGAAATAAATCAGATATTGAAATGTATTTCCAGTGACAACAAATTTATTTCAGAATATCCAGGTAGTTAGTGAACGTTTCTGTCAATTTACTCTAAAATAAGGTTTTGAAAAATAGCATACACACTTAAAAAATGTTTGTTTTCTCAGATACAAATTACGTTCTCTCGAGCTACAAGACGGAGGCTTGCAAGCGGCCACCCCGCCTGTGCAGACAAGGATACGCCTGTCCTCAGTACCACAACAGCAGAGATAAGCGCAGAAGTCCTCGCAAGTTTAAATACAGGTGAGTCAGCCAAAAATCTTAGTTGCTTGATATTTTGTCCTGGTAGTATAGGACTTCTCCTGAGTGATATTCACTGAAGAAGTAAATTACTATAGAGTAAAATGTATCAATTTATTATTATTTATTTACCTTTTATTATGGACACTAAGTTTCTCCGGCAAGCTATCTAAACTATACCTTATCAAAAAATCCTAATTAGCCACTTTGTTTTCCTTTTAAAACTGATATGGACATAGAAAGTAAGTTGTTTGCTTGTTGTCAGGTCGACCCCGTGTCCCAACGTGAAGCATGGTGATGAGTGGGGAGAGCCGGGCAACTGTGAGGCAGGAGACCTCTGTGGCTATTGTCACACCAGGACTGAGCAGCAGTTCCACCCAGAGATATACAAGAGCACACGCTGCAACGATGTGCAGCAGGCAGGGTATTGCCCGCGTGGCGTGTTCTGCGCTTTCGCACATGTCGACCGTGAGTATCAAACCACATCTTGGATGCTAGACCGATTTGAATGTATTTAATAACATATAGTTTGGTTTTGCCCTTTTTTTTGACCAATTATTACTGTAATTTGTCTTGGAAGACTTGGAAGATGGAATATTTCTAGTTAGTATATAAGGTAGTTTTAACAATATTCAAACCAAACATTGTAAAAAATGTTATTCCTTGTAATCTAGTCTTCTACTCCTTTTTTGTGTTTGAATTTACCGACAGTTCTAATAGGCCAGTTTTGTCATTTGAAACTGTGAAAATATTTTAGCCTAGTTCAATAAATTTCAATTTCAACTTCAACAATAAGATTTACCAAGGGAGCAAAGTATTAACATAGTGAGTTGTCAGCCCAAAACAGTACCTTTCTGTTGGAGAAATTTCCTTTTAACTCTTTAAAATAATCCAGAATTCATTTTCTTGTACTCTCCTATTTATACTGATAATGATACTGATGATACCTGGGGGGGGGGGGGGTCACGCTACAACCTGTAAGATCTATTGTGTCCCCCAAACTAGTCTTCAGTCTTTGCCTAGAGAACCCCCTCCAGTCCTAACTCCTTAATGAAGTTAAGCAACAGGTGGGGTTCTTACTGCGGTAAATCTCCAACTACTACCTGGTGCATATCCAAGCTCTTGGCTCTCTTTTGCCCAATCGCATCACATTCGTCAAGAGATGTTTGGGTGTTTCCTCCGCTGATTGGCAGAATCGGCTGTCACTTTCCTGAACGATCTTCATTTTTCTCAGATGACCTCTAAGCCCACAATGTCCAGTTAGATCACCTGTTAACATTCTCAAACAGTTCTTATCAGCCTGATCATAGTCTCAGACCTTCTTGCGTCGTATCCTCCAAGAAATTCCTTAGTTTGGCGACATCCTGGACGAGCAGTGGACAGCCTTTAGCTCTGGTTACATTTTTGCCTTCCTTGAACTTCTTTTTGAAGAACGAGTGCACATTCTGGTAGCTGTCCCTGCCCTTGCAAGCTTATCTGCCCAAAACGATTATTTTGGCAAATTTTTCAGTAAATAAGTGCCTTTACGTTCTAGTGGATCAATGTTTGTCTGGAATTTGTTTAGACAAATTTCCTTAAACTCATTCTTAATATAACACAGAATTCATTTTCTCGTACTTTCCTATTATAGCCTTTACCTATGAGTGATGTATCCTATCTCATCTATTATGTTTAAAATATCTATTGTTACTCTTAATTAACGATGTTGATTTTGTCAACAGAGGAGATGAGTATCGCACGAGAGCTAGCCGCGCCTCTAGACGCTGGTACAAACTTGGCAGATATATTGTCCAATGTGCTGCCCAAGAGAGATCAAAAGTCCAGCGAGTCATCGGTAGGTGATTCAATCCTTAGAATTACTTTTGAACACTCTGTTAATTGATAAATGAAATTCAAGTATACTATATCAATATAACTGATGTATAAGATATAATGGATGAATTAATGTAACTGGTTATCATATATTTTACGCTGACCACTTTCTTGACAGAAATGTGAAGTAAAACATGTTGTCCTAATTTATCCTTCATATAACTATGATATCAGTGGTGAAGTGGGACGGAAACATGTAGCAACCGCGTTCCCTCTCTGCTTTTTCCTTAACTCCCATGTGTTAAATGGTGACCTGTGTTTTACCGAGACTGTTGAGGGTGCGGGAGCACTGGAAACACTCACCATAAAAAAAAATACAGGTCGCCTAACAATAAATAGGTTCTTTGGAAAAAACAGAGTGGGGTTGCCGTTCCCACTCCACTAAACCACTGTATATAAGATAATAGAATCAATAGCTTAAATCACTGTATTATAAAAATGGTAGCCAAGCTTTACTTTTACTTTTGACAGAACGGTAGTGGGGAAGTATCCGAATGTGCCAGCACCAGCAGTATTGGGTCTAACAGTTCCAGCAAAGCCCCAGGGGCAAACCGCCACTCTTTCACACATCAACCCCAGCATGAGGCTATACAACAGGTAACAGACACGGAAGAGTTTAATGTTCATTAGATCTGTTCTATGAAATATTTACACATTTATTATTCATTTTAGTAACAACGTTAATTTACCACACTGCAACTATATTACTTATTTTGAAAGGGTAAATGTATTGAAAAGTGTAGAACATATTTTAGACCCGAAATAATGTAACAAAATACCTTACTGTAGTAATAAAATCAATTACTTGATATTCACACTTCATGAACAATGTTTTTTTTTTTTACCTTCTTCAATTTTATTTTAGCATCTTATTGATATATATTGATAATATTGACTAATATTGACTAATATTGATCGTCTGAGATCAATATTCTACAAAAGTTTTACCAGGCCTACCTTTCTTTTACCTAACATGACCCTCTTCCTAAATAACACACAAATTTCCACAGTGTAAATTAAGTACAGTAGAGTCCCGATAGTTCGGATGAAACTGTTTTTTTTATTTATTATTTAAAATAAACTATCCGCCTGAGATCTATCATTAGGGTTTGCCATCTGTCAATTACCTGCTAAACTTGAACTTAGGTTCACAAGTTGATTCTGCTCGCCACTACCTCTAAGTTTAGCCAACAACTTTCTGAACCACCCTTGTATTTATTCTCCAATGCAGTAACTTTTTAAAAATACTGTCCTTGTTTATTAATATTCATTTTTCAAATTTCAGCACAAACTTTATATCGAGATCTTGGATTCATATAACTCACTTTGCAGGAAATCATCCGTAAACAGCTGAAGGCAATAGACAGTGATCCGATGCTAGACATAATCGAGAAGTCGCAGAAAAAACAGGCATTGTTGGTAGCACTGAACATGAACATGGCTGCCAGCCATCAGCAGAGTTTGCTTCCCCTGTCCCCGCACTATCACAGTCCCTTCACGTGCGACTCTGTTATGGGTAAGTGATAGGGGACATTCCATAGCTATCTGGTAATAAATTTATTTTTGTCACAAATTGTACGTTTCAGCCAAGTGTTTTTTGTAATTTTACTGTGTCTTAGTATTATCTTGTTTGATCAGTAGTTCCTCAGACTGTATTCTGTTGTGATGATTGTTGTTAATAGGAAGACACAATCAATGTTATTGGTGAACATTCACCGGTTCTAACAGTTAATGACATCATAAAAACAATATGGAATATTTTAATACTTCAATATTACCAAGTACTTTTATATTTTGCGATGCTTGCTCTTGATAAAAATATATCATCAGCGGGATAGTTATTCACTGCCTGGTTTTATTTTTAACTGCTTTAATATTTCCAAACAATATTTTATCCACATTGTGTTGTTCCAGGCAATGCGCTAGAAGACCTTCACCTCGATGAACCATTGGGATTGGTTGATTCGATACATCGAGATTTTGAAACAGACTCTCCCACCATCTCTAATTCGATATCTGCTGGCTTAGCCAACTCTGGTATGTTGATTTTAGCAACTGCATTACCATTGACTATACACAGTGTGTTAGTTAATGCTGATGTTACTGTTATTTGTATTTAGGTTCACCATAAATTTTATATTGCAGTGTAAGTAAAAGTTTCCTTCACTGACCTTATTGCAATTTTTATACTCTACAAACACCACATAATCCTTCAAAAGTAATTATATTAAGTCTCGGCATGAAGACATGAACAAAGAACTATTATAGCGACAATGAAAAAAAAATGAAATGGCTTTTAAAAGTTGGAAGCTTTTGGACTAAACTGATGCATTAGCTTCCAATTATTAATCCTCAATTTATTTTGCCAGTATTAATACCAACCAATCGTCCACAGACATTTTTGCATACATATAAAATCGCTCTCAGCGACACTTGCACTGAAACAGACAACTATGTTGTAGCGGTGAGTGAGGCTGTATCACTTCAAACAGTTCTGTTGTTTGTTACATTGGTTTAGTCATTTGTTCCAACTGTTAAGAAATGCTAATTTTTCTAAGGTAACGTTGGCTTGTCTCTGTAGGTATACTGGGAGGCTCGGCTCCTGTCAACATCCCAGGCAGTGGACACAACAGTCTCAGCAACTTCTCACCCTCCGCCTCCTCCCCTCTTCATCATCTGCACTCCGGATTCCTGTCTGCCTCCCGGTTCTCCCACCAGGACACTCTGGACTCGGTAAGTAACTCGGCTAGCTTACCTGAGACAATTAGTCTAGGAGCTAGTACAGTAGTTACGAAAAATCTATCCATAACACATATATTACGTGTTAATTGTTGTAGCCTTTTGAATAATAAAAGATCTTTTTTTAGTTTCATAAATTTCCATCACTAAAACTTGTTAAAAAGAGTAAGCATTGGCCAGCTAAATATAAACATCTGTTTTAGACAGGTTTTTAAAGTAAAGTTGTGACAATTTCTCCCTCTATATGATAAGTCAATCATGTTGTTAACTCAGTTGATAATCTTTGAGTTTAGTTAATGTTTTTGATAGTAAGATCTGGGTAGCCACAGGCTGGAACTCCGGGAAAACAGTGAACTTTTAAATTTAACCGGGGAAATCATGATTTTAGTGCCATTTTGTTGTAAAATATATTTAAGACGGTAGAAGGGTATCCAGCAATACCTCAACAATATGTAGGATTCGGTGTGTAACTAGTGTGTTTTGCAGAGTGGAGTGTTCATGGGCAGTATGGGCAAGCTTGCAGGCTACGACCACTTCAACATGTCTCCCAACTCTCATTCACCACTCATCAACAACTTCTCCGTCAGTCCGAGGATAGGCAGCGGAAGCTATGATGTGAGTACATCGACAATCTCTCAGTAGAAACAATTTACAGTAATATTGTTTCTCAAATCGGTCCCACTTACTGCTGTCAAATCACTCAAATTAAATATTTATGTTGCACAGACAATGATGAATCTTGTAACTTATGATGACACTTAAATATAAGGAAAATTATTTTAAAACCTGTTCATGATTACTGTATTAATTTCCATTCCTTTGTTAAATCTGCTAGGATGCCAAATAGAAATAACAATTTCTTTAACAGCCCAACTTTTTTCAAAGTAATTTCTCCCGTTTTACTGTCTAAAGTTAAATTAGGTAACACCGAAATGTGTTTTGTTGAAGACTAAAACAGAACGGAGGGTCGATTAAGAGAAAATAATCCTAAGTATTTTAAAAACTAATCTGAAATTTAATGTGAATACTCAAGTAAGAAGGTTGTCTGTAAGTTTAGGTATCCTTCGAGCTCTAGTCGTCACCAAGCTAGTTAAAATCTGAGACCAACACTGTGTTCCTTACTTTTATCTATCTATTTATCTCTTGTAGATGGTTTCCACCCACAGTTCGGCCAAAGTTTCTGTGCACGCCACCAGATCTGGTTGGGTATATGCAAGGGGGTTGGCGGGGGTACCTTTGTGAAAACATTTGTGTCTTGCTACTCACTCACCCCTACCCCCAGTACTGCCAATAACCGGGGCATGTTTTACTATACACGACCATCTCCGAACTCCTCTCCATTCCTTGTGCACAAATTAGTCCGTCAACTGGTGATTGACTACAATAGTGGTTGAGGACCGAGACCACAAAAAAGTAATTGCAGAACACGATGTATACTTGGCAGGAGCATCAATGTTTATTTAAGTATTTTAAAACTAATGTGATTGTTGTAATATGTTTTTCCATTCAAGTTGTTAATATTATTATAATTATTATTATTATTGCTATCATCATTATTATTGTTGTTTCTCCGTTGATGTTGTCTAGAAGAGGACAGTAAAAGTGCTCCTGAATGTGAAAGTGGTGTATTAGACTGTTAAACAACTCATTTTCAAACACAGACCAATAGTCTACTGGGGAATTATTTTTCCTGTATACACACTTAGCATTTATTTAAAATATTTTTTTCTCAGGAATAAAGGCATTTTAATTTTATTTTATGAGATTTAACATCCCAATCGGTTTTGCATTATCACTCTTGAAGTTTTCTATTTATGTTTGAAGGTGGCCAACAGAAACAAGCTGTTGTCGTGGGATGAGAGGATGAGTCAGGCGAGGGCTGCGTGGCAGAGAGAGTGTGAGGAAGCTCAGAGGAAGGCCAGCATTGCAGAGCAGCAGCGAGACGAGGTGAGTCTCTCTCTCTCTCTCTCGCTCAGGTGTATATCAATATATACATGTTGCGAAGGTAAAGGTGTCGTCTATACTCTTGTTAGTTTACTGGCGAGTCCCAGAAGATTAGTTACTCACACATACTTATACATATTAACAAACGTACTCTCACAGACTGGTCTACTTACGGTGAGGAGTTGGTGACTTGCCTACTGAGCTCAAATTCAAAATTATGACATTATTTAAATATTTTAATATTTATGGGTTTTAGTTTAGTTTATTAGTTGAACCCCTCATATCCAACCATGACTTGACCGGGCCGTGGTCGGAACGGCCAAAAGGTCTGAGATCCGGTTGAGCAAAAAAACTTGTTCTTATGATTTTGTTTACAAAGACATAAACTTAATTGATTTTAAGACAAAATTCATTGTTTATCATGCCACATCTCTTTTATCATGCAATATGGTATTGAGTTATGGGGCTCAACACCATCGTCGCTCGCAAGAAGAAGGGGTCTTGCAAGCGTAGATTTTTAAGATACACAAGAATTTTTTTTTAGATTTTAATATTTAAACAAAAATATCATCATGTAAACCACTTTATGAAACATATGCAATTTTAATAATGCCTTAACATAAAAAAATTCTGGTATACTTAAAGAGCATTCAGCAATCTATAGGCTACTGTTTAGATGTGTTTGTCTGACCAGTTGTCATGACTAAAATACTTGGCCAATAGTTAAAATTTAACTAAAATATTGAGGAATGCCCACTCACTTCCCTGAATTTCCCTCATGCTACAACCCACGGACGTCAAAAGTTCTGAGGTGAAGTTTTCAAAAGTAATAACATGATTAGTGTCCATAACAAAATGAGAAAACTCACAATTAAATGTAAAACGATTACCAAGTTCTTGTATTTCATAAGTTCATGCATAACTTATTCAAGGTTTGTAATATATTCAATTGGTTGGTTGTCGCAGGCGATATCGCAAGCCAAGGCTCTGCAGCAGGAGGTGGACCTGCTACAAGGCTCGCCCTACCTGCACGGCCTGCGGAGGATCTCAGAACTGAGGAATCTGTCTCTAGCTACTCTCAAGAGTCTGCAGTCTCAGCTGAGAAGTGACTTGGAAGAGATAGAAAAGGTAGACACAAATCAAACACCTACTGTAACATCACATGTGTTTCCATTCCTTCTTCCTTTGTGCATTCAGCTATTTTGCAGCTTTATATGAGAAACAGTAACTGATTCTTCATTAGGCCAAATAGAACACAAACTTTTGTCCTTAAACATACAACTAATTTCATGAATTATTTTAAACTAATTTAAACATGATTCATGGTGTGAAATCACAAGGCAAAATATTAAGTCCACCTTTTATTTCAGTCACTCAGTACGAATGCTTGGTGATCGGTAGAAAGTGTGCAATTGTAGACGCCGGAGTAACTCACACACTTTACACTTCCATTGTCGACCTAAAGCAGTCACTCTGTCGTGCTACGGATACGTAACCGTGGCCGCCGTAACTGATTCTCCCACCAAGAGTGGATTGCAAAGAGTTGTTCATTTTTTGCAACCAGAAGGGAATGTTGCAGGAAGAATTTTTCAGATTTTGCCGAATGTATGAAGAAAACTCAATGGTGTTCTGTGTGTTTGTCCAAGAGTTTATTCTTCACCTTAATGTGTTAAATCTATTTAAACGTATAATTCATTCATTTTGGATTACAAAAATAGCATTTTTCCACTAGTTTTAATTTGAAATGGTAAATTATTAGTGCGTGATAAAATTCAACCGATTTTCAGGTGCTGTATCTGCAGACAGCCACCAAGTGTATGGTGTGTGAAGAGCGCAATCGCAGCGTCACGTTGGGGCCGTGCAACCACTTTGTGTTGTGCAACGTGTGCGCGCCAGGACAGCAAGACTGCCCCTACTGTCAGACGCCAATCATCGCACACAGCAATCACAATAGTTTGCAGGCACCACAGACGTAAAGAGAAGAAGTGTAGTGACGGATGTGAGACGGTTGGAACACGGTAAAATAGAAACAGGAGAGTTAGGGCACATGGCTTTATAACAAATATTTTCCTCGGTAATATTGCAAATTTTTAGGTTGTGTTTAAAGACATGCAGGACATAATGAACTAGGTGTACGTAGGAGGTGTACGAGTATAGGCATATACTTAAATATTCCATTTCTTTTAACTTATTGAAATTAATTAGAATAAAGGTATATTAGTTACTGGATAACTTTGTAAAATTGTGATTTTGTATTTTCATAGTTTTCCTCTCTTAAAAGGCCAAAGAAACAAAGACATTTGCTACTACTGACATAGTCATATTTAATCAGGTACCGTACATAAATTAGTGATGGTAATAAATATTCAAGCTAATTTTTTACACAAATGCATTGTGTTATCAATAGGTTTGTCTTTTCAAATAGTTAGTTTTAATCTGTTTAATGTGACACAAAAGATTTATTAGGAGCAGACAAAAAAGAGAAAAATTACCTTTTTGGTTTCAATTTATCTTGTCTACCATCTTAGTTTTAGTAGTGCTACTCTTTGTTGTTCACAAAGGATGGACTTTTTAACCAACTTCTATCATTATTATAGTTTTTCGCTTTACTAATCATGTCTTTATTTAACAGTGAGAGTGAATTAGTTTACTCATTCCTACATGCAAGTATTAATCCTATGACAATGTTTAACCTGTTCCAACCGATTCCTCCGTCTGATGAACTTTGAACAAATTGATCACAGAAAATGATAATTCTACCTGGTAAATCGACTGTGAGTATTATGAAGATGAGGTGTGGACTTATACAAAAATTAGTGTTTTTATAAAATATAAACTCTATATAGACTTATTCCAATTTCGTTGAGTGCATCGTGACGTGGTATGGATGTTATATTAAGTTTGTTAGGAGGTGTTTTAGAACTTGGTTCTGTGATTTTTAGTTTCAAATTTATGTTAAGTGCCAACTGGATGAAAGCCTATATTGTTCAAAGTTGTGAGTTTCTGTAAACTTACATCTATTTCATTGTAAGTTCTTGTTACTTTTCTTCAGCATGTCACTCCATTTTGCTATATATAGAGAGATTGCACTTAATTTTTAATTACTCGTCTAATAGCAACCTTAGAATTTTAATATCAAAACTGGCTTAATGAGTCAATTTAAATCTACCTAGGCTATACAAAACTATTTTGTATTACTTTCCTAATTTGTTTTCAAATTAGTAAACATGTTATTTTTTATAGTACTAAATTTTTGCACTCTTTATGAAGCCACTTTTATGACAAAACACGTTAAAACCTAATAGGTAATTATAAAAACTACTATTTGTAAAACAATAAATTTATGAAATTAATTAAACATTCAACACAATATGGGCTTTCAAGTAACTGTAAGAATAAAGATACCTACTCGTAAGCTAGAGTTGTGAGGTATTCGTTAATTATTTATTTTTAGCATACATGAGTTTTGGTAAGGGTCTAGTTTAACAAAGGACAGTATTATCTCTTGATGCATTTCCTGAAAGATCTGTAGCGGTATGAGCCAAAGATCGGATTTTCCCATTCTTTAAGATGGGTTTTGTATTTATTAGTTATTTGCCATTATTGTACCACATGGTGGGTGGGACGCTTAAATTGGTGGAAACCTTGACGAACCAAAAGCAATGCCATTAATATAACTTTTTTATTTACTGGCAGTCTTAATCTTTCTTGCTTTGCTTGTAAAAATCAAATTAAAATTTACCAAAATTTGATAATTATTTAAATCTAAACCAAACGGCTTTTGTTGAGTTTGAAAAAAAAATTCATTAAATTTTAAAGATTACTGTGGTTTAACCGATACACCAGATATTGGACTAAACGGTGCTAAAAACTCTATTTTCATTATTTTTTTTTATTTGACCTCTATTCAACAATTTTGACTGAAAGGTTGCAAATAACCACAACTCTTAACACGTTCGCTACTGAGCGTCGCATATATGCAACGCCGCGGTCATTGCCACAGACCGAGGTATACATTTGAATCTTACACATAGACCGACTGTCACTTGGATAACAGTACACACAGACCACGGGCGAAAACCTGTAAAACAGTGATCATTTACATTGTAATACGCTACAATCGTGTTTGTAAATAAATTATTCTTGTTTATTTGTATTTTTTATAACCTTTTATAATGTCGCATATTTGCGACGCCCGGTCTACAGCAAAGACAATAGTGAAAATTATCATAGTTTTCTTGAAATAGACTAAACGTCGCATATATGCGACAGTTTATTTTTTTGTGTTTTAAGGTGAAAGTAAGTAAATAAATAAACAGATTATTCAAGAACAGTTAATAACTGAACAAATATAAAAGCTACATAGGATAATGCAGCATACATACTGCATACATACATACAGTGATGCAGAAAAGTAAAGATCAGTTTTTCCATTTATTATATGACGTCACCAATCATCATATCCACAGACCAAGCGACGCAGTTGTGCGTCAGACATCTCTGTAGACCACTGCAGGGAATTCAATGCCTTCAAATAGACCACTACAAAGATATAAGCATTTTAATAACATTAGAACCCCGACGCAAATATGCGTCGGCAGTCTATTTGCATATATGCGACGGCAGTCTATGGGTGGAAACCGGCCGTTGCATATGTGCGTCGCTGGTCCATGTGAATGGAAAATTTCGTACTATTGCAGTAGCGAACGTGTTAAGCTGCTAGAGGAATGAAATAGTATATTTTGTACCTAGGGCCGAAAATAAGGTTTTGCTGGCTCAAGATCATTTTTTAAGTTCGAGACGAAGTAGAGAACTTAGAGAACTTGAAATGATCGAGAGCTGCAAAACCCTTTCGGCCCGTGGTACGAACACTATTTTTTACCACACTATACTTGAATTTACTTTTACAGTTTATTGTTCTTACTCATCATGCAGTGATCTTGACGTTGACGTTGAAAACAATAGTACATTCACTTAGTCTCAAATGTGACCCGATCCTAAATATTAAAAAAAAGTTTTGATATTTACCAAACATGGATTGCCATAGGATTAACATGAGATTAATTTGAACCTGTTCATTGCAGATTATATTTTATAGTGCAGATTTTCATTGGTTCTCTTGGTTTTCTCCCAAGTTATCTTAAATATAGCGTATCACCCACCTTAATTTAATTTCTACATTCATTCTTGTATTAGACTAACTAAATAATAACCATACTGTTAAAGTATATCGCACATTGTCAAATCTTGTGAACGCACTGAGTTTATTGCGTTTCCTACACATTCGTAATATTTTTATCGAGCTTGCGTTTACAGAATGTGCTTTTAATCCTAACCATGAAGTTATGGTTGCATTTTATTACTTTAAGAATTTGATCTATGAATGTTACTTAGATGTGCACTTGCAAAATGTTTTGCAGTTATTTATTTGTTGATGGTTTTCACTGCCTGTATAGTTAAGGTATGTACCAAAGATGATGAAGTATTCAAGTTAAAATATTAGAGGAAATTATTTTGTTTACTGATATTTTGCAAACAGTATAAATGTACTTGAGTATTACAAATTTTTAATCTAAACGGTATATCCATAGCAGCTTTAAAGTAAAAAAATTGGAACAAATATTTCTGAAATAGAGTTTTTTAGTAATAGTAAATAAAAGAACATTTTAGGTGAGTCGGTGGCTTGGTAGCGTCACGGACTTTGAGCCCGAGGCAGCGATGTCTTGAGTTTGGATCCTGGTCACTGCCGAAAACATTTTATCAGTACAGTTCACCTTTGTCTTCGTAATGTATCGGCTCACCCCTTGCTTTGCTGGATATGTTCCACGCATACAATCTGTAGTCTACGTGGACGGACAATGCAAGGTTAAATGAGGTCGCCAACCTCTTTAATATAAAACAAATTTTATTGGGAGTGTACCACAAAATCTTAATACTAAAATAAGTTCTAAATATTTGTCTAAACTTTTCTAAATCTTAGTTTGACATTTGATTATATAATTCAATGAGTTAACAAAATATTTTTCTCTAATCTGTGTATTATGAAGGTTTTTTGCTGTTATCTTTGAATATATTTTTATATAATGTTTCAGTTTTGTGAATTCATTCCTTTTTATTAGTTAACTATTAAATATTTTTAGAATTTTTTATGGTATAAACGGGGCTAAATGTGTAACTTAACAATGGTAGGACTCTTATAAACATCACATTTATGCATATTTTTTATTTTCCTATTTTTTACAAAAAGTATTTCTACTTAAAAAAATGATACTAAAAAGAGTGTTCTTTTTACTTCAGTGCGTTCAATCCCCCCCCCCCCCCCCCAAGCAATGTTATAGTGGTAGGCTTATATTGATATAGTTATAGTAATTATTAGATTAATATTTCTATTGTATTAATACCTAGGATGATATAAAATATATTAATATATAATAATATGTAACTTTCTCTTCTCGTTGTCTGTTTTGTTTGATTAGTGACAGATTTTTATGTTTCTCACTATTTTCTTACAATGCAGAGTACAACTAATCAAATCTTCATTTTACATTTATTTCACATTATTACTAATTATCAAGATATCTTTTAATGGATAGATTGTGAATATAACATGTATTTTGAGTTGTTAAACCCTAAAAATTAGTTATTTTAACAAATAATTATACGTCACTGTTACAATTTTTTCATTTTATCGCTCTTGTTTTTAATAATAAAGCTATCTTATTTATCAAGGATAAGTTTAATATCTCAGAACACAATGGGACTGTTGATTATTAATCGTAAAATTGTTGATTGTCAAAATTATAAATTTTCTATTTGTTGATTTATTTTTGGATAGTTTTTTTTATTTAATTTTTAAATCTACTCAAAAGTAAATAATATATTATATGAATTACTCAATGATGAAATGACTACTCATGATTCAAAAATGGATTACCATAATTCATAATCATCATATTAAACCAAGAGGGGTTTATCTACAAAACGTTGTAATAATAATTTGCTTAGCAATTTAGGAATATAATTTCTCATATTTACCAGTTGTTTAAACAAGTAACTTGTTTATACTTGAATATTCTTGACTCTAGACTGAACATAGTCAGAATAAATTACCTACTTTTGTTGACCATTGTAAAACAATCCTTGCTAATAAGCACAGTTTTATTGAACATTATTTACCTATCAGTTGTAACTTAATTCTTTTTACTTAGTCATATTATTTTTTTAAATTCTGTTTCCGTAAATGAGTACAAACTAGAGACTTGATGTATTACATATTTCTATCTAGAATAACAAAGACACTTACATTGTATGCTTTATTCTTTTGCTAATTTTTCAATCACACATATGAGCCTTTGCATAACCTATTTGGAAAATCAACTATTAGTGAAAACGTAGGCCTAACTGTAACTAAAAAGGAAGACAAAATTATATTTTATATATGTGTGTCCGCTTTTGCTATCAACGTGTTTTTTAAACGTGTTGGTTCCGATTTTTTAAACGTGATTTTTGTAATTTATAAAGTAAGTGTTGATTAGCGTAAGGTTTAGAAGGTTCACTCAAAATTGTTTAACGTTTTGGTGTTATATTTAATATTGACATGATGTTGATTCGCATGGAGATTCTCTTACTACACACTGCTTTTCTATATTATAAATTAAGCATGAGTTCCGCTGGCCTGCTCAAGAATTTAAATAACAAACTTGAAGTTAACTGCAACCGATTCGACCTTTACAGTTTTCAGGGTGGGACGGTGGCGTCGTCCTGTAATCCAGCTACTACTAGGAGGTCATGAATTGTGGACATTTATAGGCATGCACTGTGGATGCGATATTCCCTGGTGTGGATTAACGTCCGCACTAGTGAGTACTACGACTATCCGCAGTACTATCCTGAAGATTAGACCAATTTGTTAATGCCAAGGCAAAATGTGGTTCGGATTCCACTATAAACTGTAGGTCCCTAGTTGCCGTTAGTGGTTTGGGCTATTAATTAACAGCTGTGTCTGTGCCTTAGTCACTATCAAGACTACAAGATCGCGTCACTCATCCTACACTCATCTCAATTCATACTTGGCTTAAAATACCTACTTTGTATGGCCGCCGTTTCAATGAAAAGTATTTAAAGTATGTCTTGTCACATGATAGCCTTTGACTGCCAATAATGCTGCTTCAGCAATGGTCGTTTGTATCAAAACAGAAACAATAGCACCACACATCAATCAATTTCACTCCTCAAGATCATGATAAGAAAGTTTAAGAGAGTTTTGTACCGTATATCTTTTCATAGTTACATGTCAATTATTTAAGATGGTGACACCACTATGTGCGTATTTTTATTTTAACCCAAATATGAGTGAAGGATTGGTTTAGGATGAGTGGCGTGATCTTGTAGTCTTGTTACTCCTTGTTAGTGACCAAGCCCAACATGTTCCTTAGACACAGCTGTTAATTAATAGCCATACAGCTAATGGCGACTAAGGGGCCTACAGTTTATAGTGGAATCCAAACCACAGTTTTTCCTTGTAATTAAGAAATTGGTCTAATTACCAGGATAGTACTGTGGATAGGCGTAGTACTCACTAGTGTGGATGTTAATCCACACCAGGGAGCATCGCATCCACAGTGCATGCCTATAAATATCGACAATTTGTGACCTAGTAGCTGGATTACAGGACGACGCCACCGTCCCAGTCTAACAGTTTAAATTTCTCAATAAGCCACCTGAACTCAACCACTCAATCAGAACTTTTGTGATCTCCTGAGTTTCAATCTTAATTATTTTTGTTTTCCTTGAAACCTACAGACTTATAAAATATAGCATGGATACAAATGTTGGATATTTTTCTCTACAGTAGGGTATTGAAAATGTAGATTAACAACACATAATTCTCTTAGTGATATTTTATAATAGATATATAGATTCATTCTAGATACTCCTTAAGCATGAAGTGTGCCCCAAATTCCTATTTTGTTGTTTAAAACTACTGAAATGTATGTAGTAAATTTTGTAAATCAAAACCTTCGTTGTATTCCAATGGTCACATCAAATCTTATATCCATCAATGATATTTTTTCAACTAGTACTAGAAGCACTGTACCTCTATTCAAATGTCTGTATTTTCCCAAAGGGATATGTTTTGATGATTCCAATATAAAGGTTTATACTAGAATTTGGTCTTTTTTATATTTCCCTTCAATCCAAAGTGAAATTAAATGTTGCTTTTCAATTCCTTGAGTGTACCAAGACCGATATCAGCATATCTTTAAATAAACATAACAAAATTTGATTTTATTCCTTTCAATACTTCTTGGTGAAATATATTACCAAAGCCTAGTATCAGGATTACTAGGAAGCGAGCTGGTCTAGTGGTAGAGTGCAGGAGTTAAATCGCTGAGGTTCCGGGTTCAAATCCCGCCCAACACCAATGTAAGTATCAAGATCACTGGGCAACAAATTGACAATTGAAGTGGTTTTTTAAGTAGAAATCCCGAGCTGCATCCTTAAAAAAAGCTACATATATGCTTGGTTTGTCAAAATAGCATTCATTAATTATTAAACTTTTTAAAGAAATTTTAGAATAATTTTGCCTCAAACAATTTTATGGTTTTATATAAGTAGGTCTAGGTCAATGAAAATTTGTATTAATACGGTCCACTTAGATCGGTTTTCCGGACCATTTTACCGGGGCCCGGGCCCCATATACTTCAAGAGGAGGGGGCCCGGCCTAATATCTTTACCCGGCCTGCCAAGCTAACTCACTTACTCACTCCCATGGCCATTTATACCCAAGGCGGGATTTGGCCGCCCCGTATTACAACTGTTCTCCATCTCTCTGTATCTTCCGCTGGTTCGGGGTACGGATACGGCCCTGTTTATATCACATTTTAAGCTAAAGGAAAAAATGCTATAAAATCATACACTAAAGTGAAAAAAATTGACTTAAAAAGCATAGTATTCACATGGATACTTTGTACTCCTGATACTGATATCACTACCAGTACCAGCTATAAGATTAGGGTAAGAGTTGGAAAAATTTACGATTAAGCACAACAAACTATGATCAATAAATATTACAATACAATACAAACAATAAATATGTGAAGCATAGGATGATAGTTGCCAGTTGCCCATACTGTAGAAGTAAGATGCCTTGTGTGACTAAAAGCTTTTTCGCATGTCGCGTTTGTAAAACGCGCGTTAGCAAGTGCTCAGGAACAAGAGATGGGATCTTCACATGCAAAAGCGCGCTTTAAACCATCGTTCCCAAAACACGACGCTTGACGCTTGTAGTTTTTACGCTACATATGCAGCAGCGCACTTCTAGCTCCTGAGCACAGAAAACGTACTACTATATAACGGTTATAGTAGTACGTTTTCTGTGCTCCTGAGTCACACTTGAGTAGTGATTGGTTCAACTAACGCCGCGTCTAGCTCTGTCATGTGTATGGTTCCACATTTTGCTAACGTGCCCTCAACCAAGGCCCCACTAGAAAAACAGTGGGGCCTTTGTCTCATCGCGGAGTCTAACGTCCTCGTGTGAACGCAAGGTCTCAGTTATTGACTAAAGTCAGCTGTTTATTTAGCTAAGACTGAGGCCCGTTATCTTTAGCTAAGATTTGTAAACTACAGTGTAGTAGTAGTTTACAAATCAATTGTTCCTAAAAACATTTAAAAAATAGTTAAATCGCTCAGTGACGTAGCCAGGATTTAAAAACAGAGGGAATACCCCCCAAGGTAAAAGGGGGGTACGGGAAAATTTTTTTTTAAATATAGGCCCTAAAACGGTCTTTTTTAGCTCTCTTGGCATTGAAAATAATCAACCCCAACGTCAATACAGTATAATTATAATTTTACATTTAATTTATAAAAAAAATATGATATTTATAACCGGAAGGGGGGTCCGGACCCGCAGGACCCCCCCTGGCTACGTCACTGAATCGCATGGAACAAAATGCTTAACTACAAAACACCTTCTAGGTTACATAAACATACTTTAATACTTTTTAGTGAAATGGCGACCGTACAAAGTAGGTATTTTAAGCCAATTATGAATGGAGATGAGTGTAGGATGAGTGGCGCGATCTTGTAGTCTTGTTGGTAACTAAGTAAGGCCTACATATTCCTGTAGACACAGCTGTTAATTAAATATTTTATAGCTGATCGCTAATAATAAGGATAATAACTTAAACATTATTAAAAGAATGTGCTTGATGTATGGCCAAACCTAATAAAAAGGCATTTTCTAATCTAATAAACTAATTTTTGTAACTAACATTTTTGTAATGGTCTTTGGCCGTTGGGGTGAAAATAAAATTAATTACAGTATGGTTTCTGCAGTACAGTGACCATTTTAGACGATTTAATACTCTTTGGAAATTGTACATTGTTAGAGCTATTCTTCTATGGCCAAGCTAGAGAAAATCTGGCCAATGGTACTCCTTTTTATTACAACCAATGTAAGCACTCCTTTTCAAACCGAATAACCAATCAGATGCAGTTGGTTTCGAGACACCGTTGAATTTCTTGCTTCTCTTGTTGTCTGTGTTTTGGCTGGAATTTGTGTAGACCAAATCTCTTGATCCTGCTAGATTTTCTGCATTTTGTGATTTGAGGTAAAATATTTCTGAAAATACTATGCCTATTTTATTTCATAGATTTATAAACAAATCTTTATCATCAAATAATAAATTTTCTGGCTTAGTATTTATGATATATTCTAATAGGCTATGTTATCGAAAGTATTTTCATCCTTTGTGTATGATAACTACTAAGTACAGTACGCCATTTTATGTTTTCACTTTGTCATGAAGTAAGAATCGATAACTTGTGGCTACTGCAAGACCGTGGTTTATTACTTAGATTATTCTTCCTACCTATTGAAAGTTAATTTTGTGATCGTTATTTTATAAAGGCTTTTTTACTGTAATTTGCCCTAATTGGTCAGGAACCCCATTTTTACAAGGAATATAAGTTAGGTAATTTGTGATAAGGTAGGGGATCAGTGTTGCACAATAGCCTATTATGAAAGTAGCTTTGATGTTCAGTTGTTGGAGCAGCTGAGACTCTCTTTTTGGCCAGACTTGTATGATTTCATTCATTGGCTAAGTTAAGCATTTAAAACAAGACCTTATTTTGAGCCTGGTTTTTATTTCATTTGAAGCCCTGCTAAACATAAAATTCTATTCAGCTGACATGTGTTTCATGCAATTCAAGATTTTTCATGAAAATGCCATAAGTTCTTACTTAGGCCTAGTCTCGGCTATAGGTATTAGGCTATCATTAAGCTAGGCCTATGTTCTTTTATTTAAGTAGGAGGAATTTTTTTGGATAACAGCCTAAGTAGGTAGCCTACTTAGTTCAAACGAGCCAATTTATCTGAAAAATTTTACAGTGAATTTATATTTGAAGATTCAGGTTAGAAATAAACCAGATTTGAGAATCGAATCTCGGGTCCGCCAACAGAATAAGCTGACTCGCCGCTTGGCTAGCGAATTTTTATAGGGTGTCAGGTAAGTTAGTCGGGTATACTTATTACCGGAAGTAGGCTATTGAATTTCAAATCGGTCTTGAAAAGTCGGAATTTTGTCTTATAACTTAAGTAAGTAACTTAGGCCTACTTTTGATATGAAAGTCGGGAATTTTCATGATTTTACTGCGATCATCACAGATGTTTCCGTGGCCGCGGGAATCAATGATGATGTCTACATGGCTGCAGGAAATGATCATCATTTTGACGCGATCGCGAATGGCGACGCTGACGTCCGAGGCAGTTAATGATGATGTCTACTTGGTCGTGGAAGATTTTCATTATAAAAAAAAATCCAAATTGGCTAGCGATAATTTTTTATTGCTGCATTTTTGTCTTTAGCCTATATCAAAACACCCCATATTAGGCCTAACTTACATATTAATGCTTTATGACATAAAGACAGGGTTTGGTGTGGAATTTAAAAATTTGGTTGAATTATAAAAATTGGCATTGGTAGCAAGAATTGAGAATATTCGCTACATTTTGGTATTAACACATCACTACCGGTAACTTAATTGTTGATAAATCCAGTCTTGAAAAATTTGGCATTAGGTAGGTAGGCCTAGTCTTAAACTTTTAAATGGAAATAAACTAGACACCTGTAAATTTTAACTTTTTATGCAGTGAAAAATAGGCTAACGTCTTACCATTGCCAAAAAGATGTTGGAGCTCTCAATAGACAAGTTCTTGACTTTGTGAGAAGACCTAAGTTATATGCTACAAACCAGCAATTCATTTAGGATCCTAGGTACACAGTATACACACATTTGAGGTTTGGATCAGTCTGTTCCTTTCAGCGTAAGTCAGCTATTTTCCATAATGTGTAAGGGTGAAATTCTTACATAGAATTCGTAAATTAGGTATCCGAATAAAAGGTCCTTCAAGTATGTTCACCCTGTTCACTGAATCCGTAATTCCTTTTATGTTGATTTCCAAACAGCCTAAAATACGTCTTTGGAGCTTATATTTTTTCAAAAAATTTCCTGGCCCCCCTCCACGCTGAGGGGTATTCCATATCCCCCAGAACCCCCGGCATAGCCCCCCCCCCTCCACATTTTGGGGCCTAGAACATTTCATTGGGTATATATATAACGGTCTATGAATAACTTAGGCTGTTAATAAATTTTTTTGATTCTATACCAGTTCTGAAATATTACTCCAGATACCATGTAAAAACCCATTTTAAGGAAGTTGCCATGGTCAATGTTTTGTTGTTAGTATCTTTTAATTCTGAACTAGACAACCAAGGTAGTTCATGCCGGCTGAAAATTATTGTGCAATCTCAGTTATTTATCGTATCCAAGTCTTGATAAGTATAGGCTAGTAAACGGAATCAGGGAACCGCTCTTGCTTTTTACGAAACGAAATAGTCGTACGTAGGCAGGTAACATCCAAATGGAGGTAGCACTGGCTCAGCAACTATGCTTGAAAATCGAGACTCTGTAAAATGTTATGTTGGTACCTCTAGGAGAATCAATCAGCTCATTGGCTATTGGAAATCCCACAATCTCCTAGTTCCAAAGTACTATTCCCCTAGTGCATATGGCAACCAACGTCTCAATTCTCGCATTCTGTCATACCACAGAGAGTTATATTTTTTGTGGTGATAACTTCGGTTGTGTTATCGACTTAACCTTGACCGCAATAAGTTTTGTCTGCTTTCACGTTGTGCGTTCGTGTAACAAGCAGAACTGTACTGTAGAGTGTAGCCACTAGACAGACGACACGACGATTTACGTGATGACAATACGATTACCAATTGATTGTGGATTGAATTGATGTTTAGCTTAGACTTTTAGTTTAGCTTATTTTGGAAAGTACATAATTTTATTTGTAATAATTATCATAACTAACTATCGGTAAATATAACGCAAAAAACGTAGTAGGTAACGTTCGGCAGTTCGAAACTGCTTCAGGAGGCCTAGCTCAGTAGTACAAGTTTATTCTACAAAATGTTAAACTCATTAATGTAAATTTTTATCCTTAATTTGCAGTGTTTGTTGAGTGAATATTAAGAGTTAGGTACCTACCTAATTTGCCTTAAGGGCTGTTAAAAGTAAACCCATGTGGGTTTTTAACTATTTAACAATTTCCGTTATTTTAATTTGTTTTTACAACTTTTATTGGGCTTTTCTTATAAGTAGCCTATATCAGTCGCCAGGAATTTGGTAGCCTACTTTTTAGCCAGGAAAAATGTGTGTTTTAGATCTGCTGACAACCCTGTAGTTTTGTATGAGTAGGAAATAAATCTGACAATTTTATTGGAATATTTTTGTTGAAATCCACCCAGGTGGGTGGAAATTTGCGTAGTCAGCAGGTTTGCTGTGGCGGGGTATTTGTTGTTGCGTTGCGATCGGCTAACCAAAGAAGATAGTGTTCATAATGTTACTGCACTTATATAATGGTTCTTTTTGGACCATAGTAAATCATCAGTTTATTGTGACAACTGTGAATTGTTGTTTTAGATCTTTATTAAGTTAGGCCCTACTGAATGCAGTATTCCTGGAATGTGTATTGTGTTTTGGAGTAGGCCTAACTTAACTTTTCTTTGGTTAAATTTGAATCATTCCAGTTAATTTTTTGGATTAACATCGCTTTTCCTACACTTATTTATCCTCCGAACCTTTATTTTGCTATACTTCTAAGTGGGGTCTGGGTTGTAAATGTTCAAAGATTTCTGATATTCTTTAGCATTAACATGATTTATAGTAAGATTTGAGCGAAAGAATGATTTCATCTTCAAACAATTGGGATAATTTAATAGGCCTACCTATATTTTCCTCGTTATCTTTGCTTACTGAATGTTTCATGTTTAATTATTTTCAGATAATCTATCATGGCTCGTACGAAGCAGACAGCCCGTAAATCCACTGGAGGTAAAGCTCCCCGTAAACAGCTTGCTACCAAAGCCGCCCGTAAAAGCGCACCTTCCACTGGTGGAGTGAAGAAACCTCATCGTTACAGGTTAGACTCTGAAATATCTTCTTAATGCTACAACTTTTTAGTTTAATAACTTAAACAAAGATAGTGTAAATATATTGCCTTTATTATTGAAATTTTAATGTCTAGGTTAATGTGTTTTCAGTTTGTCTAGTGTTGTTGCATCCTTCTTTTAAACTTGGGTACACTTTTGACTTAATTCTTGCACGGTTTGTTGCAAAATAATTGCAACAAAACTTAGCAAGTGATCTCTATGATAGGCATAGGCCTATTTGGTAAATATGCTGATGTAGGGATAGGCCTACAGCAATCAGTTAGTTTTATCATAGATCAACCAAAAACAACACAAGTAGACTTCTCATCCCCATTGTACATTTTGAAGCTTGTTTTTCGTGTGTAGTTTATGTCCGGTGACACTGATTGATAGTGTCATCAACATTTTGTTTCTAGTAATTTCATGATTTGTACTGTTTGGTTGTATGTAACTGGGTGACGAGTTATTGATTATTATTAGATAGTTTTATTTGGTTAAGTTTTAACCCTTTGCACTCCAGCAAAAAAAATTTGTCCTAGCCAAAAAAGTCGGTACCTTGCGGATAGTACTAGCCAAAAACTCCAGACATTTTTACTAATAAATTTATGTAAGCGTTTGTAACATTGGTGCATCTTTTTTGTCTGAACAGATAGAGGCATACTTTTTGTTTCCTGTTATTCTCTATAAAATTTTACATATAAATAAGTAAAAATAACCCATTCCAAAACGAAAAAAAAAATCTTTTCTTAGTAGCCTATGTGTTTTTTTTATTTTTTAGAAAAGTTTATGTTTGAGTGTGTATATAAAAAAAAAACATTGAGACCATAAAATAATGCTAGTATTCTCAAACTCAGTATACTTTTCTGAACAAAACACAACAAGTTCCATGCACCTACCTTGAAAAATTAAGAAGTTGTAGGCTGCAAATTTGAAAATTGTTGTCCAAACTCCAAAATACTCTTATCTTGACAAAAATGAGGGTTTCCAAAAGACATCACAAGCCTTAGCATTATTCAAACTATTTCTTCCAAAAATAAAATTATGGTATTGTAAAAATAATGTTGTAGGCCTAGAAAAAATTAAAAATAAGTTTTTGTGTGGAGCCTTTAGCTTAGCACTAATTTTTGTTGAAAATGCAAAAATGAAATAAAAATGTCTAGACTATTCAAAAAGTAAATCTATTCAACCTTATTATTTTTTACAAAATCTCACTCAAACATGTTATGCAAGAGTCATTTAAAAATGTCCATGCAATCAATCATTTCGCTTCGTTTTGACAGTTTCTCCCTTGCTAAAGCCCGAAATTTTCCTTTTTCCCCGCTGCCCCCCCCCTTCTCGACGGGCCTGACCCTGTGATTCGAGTTATAGAATAAAATATGAGTTAGACTGGTAAAAATGTACAACCCACATGTCACTCTAAACACTCTTCAATGTTTATTGTTGTGTTTATTCATTGTTGGTATTGACTAAATTTACCTATTTCAAGCTTAATATCCCCTATTTAGGAAAAACCTCCCATTACTCCTGGCTAATTACCCTTTTTTTCTGTCTTTTCTTTGATGATTAACAAACAAAATTCCAAAAACACATAAACTATGACTTTCTTGAATTACTTTATTATCGTCACCTCCTTTTTGTTTAATCATCAGGAGAGAAGGGTAATTAGTCTAGCCAGGTAATCAGATTGGAAATAAGCAAGGAAGAATGGGAAATTCCTACAAAATAGGGATTACATCCCAGAAATAAGGAAATATTCCAGAAATAATTTGGTCCAAACCAACCTTAACATAGGTACAGTAATACTAATATGGTGGTACTGTTGTTTTGCTTGTTTTGTTAAAGCATCGCTGTTGATACATAATGTTGTAATTTTGTCAAAAAATTTCAATAAATAAATAATTGTAATAATTGGTCTGTGGTGATGTCTGCTAACGTGGAACAATTACATGAAGACAATCAATAAGCAAATTCAAAGGCGTTAAAAGCAACATTTTACAAAATCAAATCCATAAACCTATTTGTGAAAACACAATTTGAGCACTAATTTTGTTTTTTAAGCTTGTGGGAAAGCCAGGTTGGGGTTTTTGTATCCTCGTGACTGCATTAGGCTAAGTGTTTTTAATGTGTCTGCTGAAATAGCAAAATAAGTTGCCCTGTCCGAAAAAATCCATTTGATATTTTTTCATTTATTCCTCTCATTTATAGGCAGGTTCTGCCATCTTTATCCCATTATTATCAAATATTTTTGTTAGAATTTGTCTGTGTGTATGTGCGTCTGATAATGTTTCACAGCAGCCTCAGATGCTAATTTTTAATAGTTTACAATCTATAATTTATTTATGAATATGACAAAAATCATGACAATAAACGTGTCCTGCAGGCCTGGTACAGTCGCCCTCCGAGAGATCAGGCGATACCAGAAGTCTACTGAGTTGCTGATCCGCAAGTTGCCGTTCCAGCGGCTTGTGAGAGAAATCGCCCAGGACTTCAAAACTGACCTTCGGTTCCAGAGCGCAGCCATCGGTGCTCTCCAGGTAATGATCTCTTTGTTGAGAAGTAGGCTAAATAGATCGTTTGACTTGTTATAACCAATAACTTAACTAAAGTGACGCTCTAACTAATCTTGTTGTTTTATTATGTGTGACTGATTTGTTTTAGTAGGAGCACATTAGGCCTACACAGTTATTCCAGATTTATCCCAGATATTTACTTAAAAGAACTTTGAAAATTTAGTTATATTTTGGCTAAAATAGTTTTAATTGTGGGAATTTAACCTGAATACAAATACCAAGAGAAATTGAATATTTGTTCCACACCTTGCAAAAATTGTAAAAATAACCTAGAACCTTCAAAATGCCATTAAGACATAATAATTGAGGTCATTTGGGTTCTAGCACAGTAAACAGTAGTAAAATAATATAGAAACTTGTATTCTTTTAATCAAGCCCTCTTTTTTATGCATAGAGTTTTGGCATTAAATAGGGTAGGCTATTGCTGGGATTGAATATACCGGGTATGAAGTCAGTAAAAGTTTTTATGCCTAATAGGACAATAATAAGTGATTTGGATTAACATACATTATCGTAGGTAAAATTGAGTTATAGGCTATTATGGCATACGCTGTTAGGTTGTACATGTTTAGGTGTACAAGTTGTTTTGTTTTCATTTTTAAGAAACAGACCATACTGATTTCCACTAGAGGGAGATATCCACAAATATAGTCATAAATTAAATTGTGTAGATATTTTTTCTCTATAATGTTTAAACCCCTAATGTTCTTATGTCTGTTTTGCAGGAAGCCAGTGAGGCATACCTTGTCGGCTTGTTTGAAGACACTAACTTGTGCGCCATTCACGCCAAGCGTGTCACTATCATGCCCAAAGACATCCAGCTCGCCCGCCGCATCCGAGGCGAACGTGCTTAAACACATTCCCCCCTCCACCTCAAATGCAGACATTATTACATTTTTGTGTTCACTGCCAGAAGAAAAGTGCGGCTTGGTGTTTATGTTGAATTTCTATGTCTAATTTTTATACTTGAGATAAGCTGTCTATCTATTAGTTTTTAGTTTGTGACTGAGTATTTAAGTGTTTTGTATTCACTCCCAACTTAATGTTTAAGTACCCGTAGAATTGGTTTCACTCTGTTCTTTTACTTTTTGGGTATTCTTTTAGTTGGTGGGAAGCAGAAATGTCAAGTCCAAAAGTCTGTGTAACGTAGTGTCGTTCTTGTGAAATCTTCAGTGTTTACCATGTATTGTTTGTTTTTAATACTACAAATTTACCAATAAAAAGTACAATTGATGCTGATTGATTATTTTGTTTTAAAAGTAGTTTGAATTGGGATTTTATAATTTCATGATTTTCTAAAATGTAGTTCTACATCTGTGTCAGAAATAAACTTCTTTCTATTTCCAAAGAATTGATTTAATTACTTCCTAAGCCTAGTTAAATTTTCAGGTAAATCCAATTAGGATGATTTCCTATTACAGCTAACTACAGTACTTTAAGTAATTTATTCAGCAAAATTAACCAAAAATGCATTTGCTACGTCAAAAACATAATAAAATATTTACAATAAACCAAAGTTCGGATCATCTGAGGAACATGTTCAGGACTAAACCACGATCGCGGGAGATGATTATGATGTTTCTGTTACTGGAGATAGTCAAAAGTTTGCTGCAATCGCGCATAACATTAAAAATGATATTCTGTGATCGCAGGAGACGATGATGATGATTCACTATGTGCCGCGGTTATAAATTCAATATTTGCCACAATCAGGGTAGATGATAATGTTTCTATTACCTTAGAAGGTGTCAAAGATTTGGCCCCGATGTTGAGGAAGACGATAACGTTTTTGTGACCGTGGAGTGGATCATATTTTGGCCGCCATTGCAGGAGACGGCAATGATGTCTACAAGACCATGAGAAATGGTTACCATATTGTCAAAAAAAATGTTCACCAAAAGGCAATAGCACGGGCGAAAGTCGCTTGACTGGTGCAGTGGTAAGATACTTGTATCGTGTATGGCGCAGACGAGGCAGTCTTGCGCGGAGCGAGTGAAGGCTCTTATACTAGCTCCTGCTTTTGTTTGCCACATACTACTGATATAGCAGTTAGCATGAAATTCAGCTCAGTCATAGTAACCAACTGTGGGATGGTATAAATCTTATATAGAACAAAATCACTACAGTGCTTCCCCCTACATATGTGAATTAATTTTTTTAGAAATTTAGCATGGGTTTATATGGTTGTCATTTTAACAATAAAAAGGCAAACAAAGGAGTCCTGACATATTTTGGTTTACAAATGATCTAAACTTTAAACTAATTTAGAGCAAAGGGAAAAACAATCAGCATAATTCACCGGAATTAGGCCAATGCACCATTGACTTTAGATACTCAAAATAGCCATTCCATTTATGTGAAGCAAAGATGCCATTTACTTTGGAAACTGCAGTAGATATTCCATTTACTTAAACCAGACATACCATTGACTTTGGAGACCATACTGCAAAAGGGCATCCTTATGTGATCCATACCATTGAATGAGAATGTGAAAAGAAAGGGTCGCCGAGACTGCCCCTTGGACAACTACCTCCCCAAGTAGGTTCCTACGTCATGTTGACGTCAGAGATCCGGGGGGGGGGGGAGTTTTCCAGTCATGGACACTCAAATTTTGTTCTCATACTGTTCCAAACTAACTTAACCTAACCAACGAAACTTGCTGTTACATTTCAAAATTCTGTATGATATTCCCCAAATGCCTTTTCTGTTGTCAAACGGAATTACTCAAATCAAAATTACAATTACGTAGCATCACATTTTGCTTGCTAGGGGGGTAGTATTCCTGTCGCGGACACGGCTCCCATATTGGTTAGTTGGGAGATTTTGTGACGTCACGTTTCACCCCCCAGGAGGTGGTTTTCCAGGGGATAGTGTTCCGCATCCCCAAAAGAAATCAGTAATTCAAGATTTATCCATACCTATAAAATAAAAATCCTTCGTCCACTCACTCATTACTAATCCTCCTACTTATTTACCTGAAAGACTGAAATTTGGTACACTGATTCTTTAGGCATTAAATAGGAAAAGTAAGTAATTTTTATTTTAAGTGCATAATTCATCAACTTTATTGACTTTGTTTTTTCCATATGTTTATGAAAAAGTAAGTCGTACTTAAATTATTTAGAAAATAAATTACACTTACAGTGGAACCTCGATAACAAGACCTTGGATAACAAATCACCCTTGATAACAAGTGTCATTTTTAAATCCCTTCGAATTTATTTTACCCCTAATCACATGTTATTGCAAACCTTGATAAGAAGACAACCTTGATAACAAGTCTTATTCTATAATCCCCATGAGATTCTTGTTATCAAGGTTATACTTCTACTCTTCTTTTTAGGGAATTGCCCTATAGGGAAGTAGCTATTACCATGGTGGCATCGTAAGACCTAGACCCAGGACCGATTTACTTTTTCATTTTGATGACCCCAGAGGCCAAAAATTCAATTTGTTCAAATTTGTATATATGAAAATATTGAGTTATATATGTGTCCGTGAAGACAATAACTTGAGTAATTTCTGTCCAATTTTGATGATATTTGATTAAAGGTGTAAAGGCGGGATAAACTTGAATGAGTTCACAAACCTGCATGATCGACAATGGGTTTTATAGGGTAAAAATGTTTTTTTCTCATTTTTGACCATCAAAACACAAAATTTCCCAATTTATATTCAGACCTTTTTAAAGAGATTAAAACAAAAACTAATAATTTAGTATATCAAAGTGTTTTTGTACACGCGAAAATTCTAATAATTGTAAGTTTAAAATTCCCATGTTATTCTTATGGAGAATATTGTAAAATATGTTTAGTTTGCTTTTCCATAGATATTTTTTTTATCAAATTGGCAAATTTATTTATTTAATACATGATGTAATACTAAGCTATTAATATTTTACTAAAAAATAAATTTGATTAGTTTCCTTGTTGCAGCAAACCTAGGTACTCATTAAACCTAATGTTATTTAAATAGATTTAATTGAAAATTAATTCAGACAAATGGAAATCCGCTTAGTCGGCAGTTTTGGGGGGTATTTAAATGTCTTTTCTTATGTTGTTTTCATTCATTTAAGGTTCCTCACGGGTCGGCCTCTTCGCTGCACTATGGTATAAAACAGTCAACCCGTTAAAAATTATTAAACACTGTTGTATCGGATCAAACACATGCTATTTCTATTATATGTATAGGTATCACGGCTGAAGATGATGCCGCAAGCAACTTTTAGTTATGTGCCTATGTCTATTTTTTGTTTAGTAAATTTACTTTTTAGGGAGTCAACAGTAGTGCCGCGACCTTGAAGATAGCCCCTTAAGACTAATGTTAACTTGTGACCACATCAGGGGCAACCGCATACCATATAACTTGTGACCCATCGTCATAAAAATATAATTTTGGTGTCCAATTGTAACTGTTCTCTAGGGAAATGCCTTTTTATTTTATTAAAAACAAACGTTATTTGTTTATAAAAATTACCCTTTATTTTTACAACAAAATGATATCGGGGCACTACTGAAGACTCTTAAGTTATCGTCGTGGCCGAATATTCAGCAACTATGCTACCAAAAAAATCTGTGGTATATAAGGAACAACTTGGTTAAACACGCAAACCTTACTATGTTTCACTTAAAATTGCAAAAAAATCCGGTATCCCCTTTTTCTGGGGGTTTGGTGCCCCAGACCCCCTGGGGGCGTGGCCCAGTACTATTAACAAATAAATATCTGTTAAATATTATGGAAATCAAAAATGAATCAATTTAAACACAAGACCGTCATGCATACCTTATTGAATGCCTGAGATATGTCAAGATATGCCGCTAATACTGTGTGCTGTTTCCTCTCAAACAGTGTAAAAATAGTTAGTACAAACTGTAAAATAGGTAGTAAAACAGTGTGTTGCTCTCAGTAGAGAGTCGGTGGCTCAGTCAGTAGCGTCGTGGACTTCGGGCCCAAGGCAGCGATCAGCGATGTCGTGCTGGGTTCGGATGTTTTATCTATGGTTCGGATCCTGGTCACTGCCACCATAGATAAAACATACTCCCCTGCCACTAAAATTTATCAGTTCAGTTCACCTTTGTACTGTACCGGCTCCTTGCATTGCTGTAAACGATCCACGCACGGGTGCGTAGTATGTGGACCATTGATGTGGTGTGGACGGGCAAATGCAAGGTTAAAAGAGGCCACCAACATCTTAAAAAAACCCTTTGACTATCGTTTCATATATACGTACGATTTGATGTTTGGGCGAATGTTTTGGCCGAAATCCAAATTGACGAGCAGGAATTATATTTGCAGCATCCATATGTAACAGGCAATTCGTTTTTAGATGATTTTTTTTTAAGACTTTAGAAAGTGTAGACAGTAAGCTGATTGGACGGTAACGAGATGGAGAAGACTTTGGTTTATTGGGTTTATTTATAACTGATATTTCCGCATGCTTCCAAATAGAAGGGAAGTAAGATTTAGACAAACATGCATTGATAATTGATGGGAAATATCAAAGCCTTAGTTGGTGAGATTTCGCAAAATAATATTAGGAGTAAGGTCATGGCCAGCTGATTTACGGAGCGGAGGTTTTTTAATTACTGCTTTAATTTCAGATTGGCATGCAAACTTTATTAGTAGTTCAGCAGATAAAAATTGTCCATTCAAAATCTTGTTCACCATCTCATCGTCACCATAATCAACAAGATCAGTGGGTTGAAATGTAGTTTCATAAAAATCTGCCAAGAGTTCACACTTCTGTGAATCAGTCTGAAATTTTTTTTATAGAATTTATTTTTATAGTATGGTCTTCATAAGTGTATTTACGAATAGGAATAATGATTGCTCCTAGAAGGCATTGACTGCCAAATATGAGATGAATGGTGCTGCCATCTGTAGCCCGATCTTCAAGCCACGTCATTGTTGTGGACTGGCGATATAGGGTAGTGCCGTCGTAAATTTATCTGGAAAAATGAATATTTTTAGGCTTGTTGGTGATCTTTCACATCTTTTGGCAATTATAATACTTCTGCAGAAGATATGGAAGAGCAGATCCTGCGCAGGTACTTTTTATCCCTTGTAAATCCCTTAATTGTTCTGTGCTGTCAACCGGTCTTGCGCTACAGCAATAGCAGCATTAACTGAATAATATGCTGTAATTTTACTTAAGAGTCGACAATTTCTCCTGAACCTTATTTCCTAAGCATTAATTAAATTTTATAATTGATAAATTGTGTTTCTATGCTGCATTTTATCGTATCCTCTTTTATTTGTCCTTTTGTAAACATTCCTAGGATCATTTTGAAGTAGGCCTAGGCTAGGTCTACTTGGTCTAAGTCTCTTTTAGATTTTGGTTTATTTGAGATTATTAAGCAAATTTCCCCATGGTGATGTCCCACATGTACTAACTTACATAATTAGGCTACCAATATTTTTGCATTAAGCTTTATAAGTTATTGTAGGCCTAACGTTCAAATCATGAATAGGCCTACGGCTAGGGGAACATGAAACATTAATGATGGGTAAGGCAAAGAAGGCTATACCCATTTTGCCAACTCATTACCTATTTGTCCGGACGTATTAGAGTTAGTGGGATTAACTTGGTAGAAGTTATAACTTAGAACAATTTTCGGGTCCCTACAGTTTGCTAAGTTATGGGGCTAACTGGGCTAAGTTATGCTAATATCGATTGAAAACATCAAATTGAAAATACTGGGTAGTAAGTTAACCGATATTTTAAAATCTGTCAATTATAAAATTAAACTATCATAGGCCTAACACAACCTAACCAACCAAACTTGCTGATGGTGAAAAAAATTTCATGGAGGTTTACTAATCGAATCGATAGTTTCAATCGATATTAGCATAGCCCAGTTAAGAAACTGTACCCCAATTTTCCCTTAAACCATTACATAATTTTGTTCATTTTGTTTTTAAATCTGCATTTACTAAGTTAAGACCAATAATGATCATAACTAAGTTAAGTTATAACTTATTTAAAACCACGGCGTCGCTGCCATAGGGGACATGGGGGGCGCGTCCCCCCCAATATTTGAAAAGTCAGTTTTGTCCCCCCTATCACAAATTTTAAAAATAATTTTTAAAAAATCATACAGAATGCGTGTTCACCCGATCGATCCCTGCCAGCAAGTAAGGTGCTCGCTCCGCTGTATGATTCGGAAGCGTACGACATGGTGCGGTGGTGGGGGGCTGTTCCGTTCCACGATCCTCGAGTTGCACTGGATGCCTAACGCTTGTCTATGTCGCTTCTTCTTCGATCGCGTTTCAGTCAGCAGTTGTTGATACTACAGTATTTAGATGTACTTTAACCTTTTTCTCCTCGTACATTAACCTTTTTCTCCTCGTACATTAACCTTTTTCTCCTCGTGTGTTCTGTAGTATCGGTTATATATTTCTTTTAACTTAATTTAAACTTTTTGAAAGTACGTTGAACTGTTTCTTGACAAATGAAAAATGAAACGAGCAGAAGGACAACAAAATTTGTTGTCATTTAAAAAAAAAACAAAAGGACAAAGGTAAGTAAATCTTACTAATATTATAAATGTGAAAGTTTGTGTGTTTGTTTGTTTGTATGTTTGTTTGTTTGTATGTTTGTTTGTGTGTTTGTTTGTGTGTTTGTAGTTCAATCACGCATAAACCACTGGACGGATTGGGCTGAAATTTGGCATGATGATAGCTTACATTCCCGATTAACATATAGGCATATTCTTATCTCAAAATTCCTTTCGGGCTCCGCCCCAGTGGCTCTGTAATTCCCCATGTTAACCTTATGAGTATTTATATTTAAAGGGAATTAAAGAATTTAGTCAGCTGTTTCAACTAAAAAAGTTGGTTCTATGATATGGAAAAGCATTAACAAGTTAAACTGTGATTCGCAATGAGAACTGTCAAAGTAGGATAGTTTACAGTTATGTTTATGTTTTTCATTTCATGAATAATTTGTGATATTTTGCGAATTGTTGATAATTTATTTTTCTCTATTGTTTAGGTGAAGTGGTAGAACATTATATTTGTAATACTATAGAATACTGTAAATTTAAAAAAAGCAAATTTATCAAACTGTGTCCTCCCTTATTGCAAACGCAAAGCTTGAGTATAACTGCAATAAGCATTTTATACTTATATTCCAACCCCGTACGAAGGACGGGTAGGCCTACTCTGCTAGTATTTATATATTTTTGTAAAAGATAAAAAGAATTTTTCCATAGATAGTTTTTGATTTCATGTTATGGAATTAAAAAACAAAAACAAATTATAGGCCTACCGAAAGTAGGTATGCTTAAATCAGAAGAAAATATTTTAAAAGTGATCTTTGTGTCATTTGTTATTCTAACAGGTAATTCGGAAGTCTTATTAAAAATGTAACTTTGTTATAGATCAAGAAACTGACGAAGAACATATTACACATGAACAGAAGAAAATATTGTCGCCATCAAATTCTGGAGCTGTATCATCATTTGTTTGCTCTCCATCAGTTGAAGCACAGCAAGATGGAGGAAACAACCAAGACGTAGAAACTGACGAAGAACATATTACACCTGAACAGAAGAAAATATTGTCGCCATCAAATTCTGGAGCTGTATCATCATTTGTTTGCTCTCCATCAGTTGAAGCACAGCAAGATGGAGGAAACAACCAAGACGTAGAAACTGACGAAGAACATATTACACCTGAACAGAAGAAAATATTGTCGCCATCAAATTCTGGAGCTGTATCATCATTTGTTTGCTCTCCATCAGTTGAAGCACAGCAAGATGGAGGAAACAACCAAGACGTAGTGTCATCAGTTGACTGCTCTATTCGTCACACTTCTCCTCATCAGCCTCAGATTCTACCAGGGGATTTTCCAATGAAAAAACTTTCAGGTAGAGTGCTGAAATTCCAGACCAGTTGGTATGAGAGATTTCCTTGGCTACATGTGGCTGGAGCTGAAGGGGTAAACTGTTTTTACTGTACAAGATATGCTCAGTTGAGGCCAGCAAAAACGCTGGCTACCAAAGCAGATAAAGCTTTTAGTGAAAAAGGTTCAACTGGAAAAAAGCTATTGAAAAGTTTGGAAACCACCAATGAACGAGTGATGCTCATTGCCAAGCTGTTTTAAGCTACTCTCAGTTACAAGCACCTGAGTCACAACTCTCACATGTTAAACTCGAACAACAAAAACTTGCTTTAGAATCTCTTATGACTATAATAACTAGTGTAAAGTATCTTGTTAGACAAGCAGATGGCACGTAAGAGGACACAAAAATGATGAAGGTAATCTAATGGAACTATTGAAGGTTCGCTGTGAGGACAAGCTGTCTTTGAAACAGTGGCTAGAAAAAGATATTACCTATACTCACCCTACTATACAAAACGAAATCATACAGATATTGGGAAATGAAATCATATCCAGTAGTTCAGAGCATTAAATTAAGCAACCCTTTGATTTACCCTGTCATTTGTGATGTGACGCGAGATATTGCTGGCAATGAACAGGTCAGTGTTTGTGTCAGGTGGGCTGATGCTGATCTCGAACCTCGTGAAAGTTTTTTAGGCTTTTATGAATCGGCAAATACATGTGGAAGAGAACAGCTCTTATTTTTGTCGTGTTGCTTAGATTGGAGCTCCCTTTGTCCAATCTTCGTGGGCAAACTTACGATGGAGCTGGTAACATGAGTGGTATCCATTAAGGAACTCAGTGATATAGAAACAACCACTTGCTGACTACATTCACTGTGGTGCTCACTGTGTCAATCTAGTAATAAAAGCAAGCTGTGAGACTTCAATGGATTGGACTCATCAGTTAGGAGTATTGATTTTGAACACAACAGCTTAAGATGAATACAATCACAAGATGGATATACAGTTGAACCTCTATGAGACAAATTTCAAGGGGTACGGGAAAAATTCGTAGAGGTATTCTTAATAAAGAGGGTTGTTTTATCGAGGTTTAATGCTGCTGTTATTCTTCTTATAGAGGTTTCTCCTCGCTCCAAGGTTTCTCCAAACAATGACTGAGGGAGGAGGAGGGATGGGTGGGGGTTCATGTTGAGACAAGCTTCTGTTTGATTTGAAAACTACGTACTATGGAGGTTTAAGATTATGATAAGTTCGTCTTATAGAGGTCACGTTCGTCTTGTAGAGGTTTTGTGCTAATAATATTTGTTGTATAGAGGTTAATCAGTCCTAGCCCATGTCACAAACAAATTTGTCTTATGGAGGTTTTTAACTTAATTACTACGTTGTATAGAGGTGTTTTTAGCATTGACCTATATGAAAGTGTCAAGGGGATTATAAAAAATTTGTCTTATCAAGGAATTTGTTTTATTGAGGTTCGTATAAACGAGGTTCAACTGTACCGGAAAGGGCAAATCAATGAAATTTTGCAAAAGTATCCATTAATTTTGAAAACTTTGAATGAACTCACAGAACGTAAGTACGACGGAGCCAGTGGTTTGTTGAGTGTGTTTGAAGATGGGACAACGTACTTATGCCTGATTATGGGTAGAAAAGTTGTTGAACTTTTGGAACTACTGGACAAAAGTTTTCAAGGCGAGAAGAAATCAATGGTTGGATTATATGAATCTGTTAAACTCATTGTTGATGGTCTGCAAAACCTCAGAATCAACCAGCAGTTTTCTTCTGTCTACGAAGAGTGTACCAAGTCCATAGCTGAGCTGGGCCTAGAAGAATTAAGGCTCCCAAGACGAAAGAAAGTGCCTAAAAAGATATGTGAGAGAAATGCTAATGACTACGGCTACGAGTTTACTTCAACAGAAGAACATTTCAGACGGGAGTTCTTTGAAGTCATTGACACGGCTGTACATGGTCTCAAAACTCGCATACTTGAACAGGCTGGTATGAAAAAACAGATTCAGCTCGAGAAAGTCCTACTAAGAAGAGACAGTTATGATGACAGTATGCTAGCGCCATATCCGGAAATCAACGTTCAAACGTTGAAGTCAGAACTTGAGCTTTTCCACCTAAGAAACAAGGTGCAAAATTTAAAAGACGCCAAGGACGTTCTGACCTCTATGACAAAAGAGGTGAGGGAGCTATTCTCCAATGTTGAAGGTCTGGTGAGACTAATGCTTGTGTGTCCAGCTTCAAGTTGTGAAGCAGAGCGAAGTTTTAGTGCTCTGCGGAAACTGAAGACGTACCTAAGATCCATCATGACTCAAAAAGATTGAATCATGTTGCTCTTTGTTACGTCCACAAAGACGTATTGGACAAGGTGGAAGAAAAACGGGTTGCAAAACTGTTCATTTCAAAATGTGAAACTAGGAGAAATGTTTTTGGTTCCATCAAGGATAATAAATAAAGAATTAAAGAAAAGTTACGATGTAATATGAGAGACCGCATTTAATATCAGTAGTGTGTTTGTAAAATAAAGCATATTAAACCATATAATAAGTTTTTACTGAATACCTGTGTAAATATTTTATTTAGTATCAGTTTTAATTCTATGTTTAAATATGTTTTGAGGCCAAAAACAAACTGTTTAAATAAAAACCCTGCTTGTTAAAATGTGAGATTGTGGGTTTAAATATTTGTGTTCAAACGTCATTTTATGATCACAATTTTTCAAAAAGTTTACTTAATGTATGTCAAACTGACAAAGATTTCACATATCATTAAGGTCCTCTTAAACCGTTATAACTATTAGAATAAATAAGTGTGCCTACGGTATTATAATCATAAAAATACAATCCAACGTTGTAGTAATTGAATGGAATAAAGGTGAGCAATTTCGTCCTCTTTGTGTTTCCTCTATGTTTTCTTCCTCTCTGCACTCGTTTGCAGCTGTATGTTGCTTTGTTTTGATTTGATTTGAAGTTTTACAAGGTTTTACCTAACCTCTCTGAGTGTTTTGTTTTGTTGCGTAATAACTTTACACATGTTTTTATATGACAAAATAGTTATAAATATTAATTATATAGACATATTTTTGAGAGGAAATACTATGTATTTTCATTAAATCCATGCTTAAAAACTGTGTTTTCAGAGGCAATATTTTCAAAAAAATTTTCTGGGGGAGTACAATTCCCCAGACCCCCCGTTTGCTCCCCCCAAACCCCCCGGAAGGACCGACACGCCTTTGTCCCCCTCAAAGTTCTGATGCTGATGACGCCAATGTTTAAAACTGTATGATAACTTTGGGCGAAGAAGTAACTTAGACTGTGAAATCCTAACAACGTTTTATTGGGCCTAAGTTACTATGATTGCTGAGTTGCTCAGTTTTTTTTGTAACTTAATTAAGACTTTAGACAGTCTTATAAGTTTATGTATTAGCCTATAATAGGCATTTTACCAAATGCTATAATGTTATTATTTTATAGCATTCGGTAAAATGCTTAAGTATAATAAGTAGAATAAATATAAAATTGTTTTTTACCTGTTTTTACCAATCAGTCTTTTTTTTATAGGCTATCTCCTGAAAATAAAAGTAAAAGTAACTTAGAATGTTAAATAATGAAGTTATAATTTATCTGTAAACTATGGCTATAGGCCTAAGTAGAGTATTGAATGACCATTTAAACTATAGGATTGAAAAAGTCAAATTAATTGTTCGAATAATGTATAGGCCTACCGTTTCCCAAATACTTAAATATTAGTTCACAATAAGAGTAAAAAGATCTTACCTCATTGTAAGATGAATTTAAACAGAGAGGAACCATCAAATTACAAAGGAATGGCGAGGGTACTGTCTTGTATCGGATGAGACTTAGTGGAACCAACTAGCTCAAGCGCTAAGTAAAAATTTCCGCTCTTACCCCGTGTGCACTCTTGCCCCGAGTTATTCTACTGTATGGAGAGTTTTAGGCGGTGTATAAAATCAGAATCCGGCAATCAGCAGTTAGAGGATTAAAAAGATTCAAAAGATTTTACTAGCCATTCGGTAAAAAAATGCAATAGGCCTTGTCTTACATTTACAAATAACTTAACTAGGCTACTGAAATGATTTCATTTCAAACAATAAATTAACAATGCAAACTGTCAAATGCTGCATGTTATTGGAATGAATAGAGCCATTGTGGTAGGCCTCATTGTTTAAGACAAAGTTACAAGTCTAACGAAATTGAAGGGAAGTTCACCCATGAGCCTAAGATAAGTGACTATACTCAGTCACTCTAAGGGCATGTGATCACCCCACTCAAGTTCAGAGTCCAAAGTGAATCCTAACAGCTTGACAATATTGTCCTCGAGTACGGTACGGTACCGTCTTGTTTAGGTTAAACAATATTTCTTGTGTTTTACCTTCATCGAGTGAATACTAGAAAACCTTTCTAAGGTTGCATCAAACAGCACTTTAACATTACTGAAAATAATAAAAGGGACAGGATGGTTTATAAACAAAGTGGTGTCATCTGCATACAACAGCATATCATGATAATTACAATGATACAGATAATTCATGGCAACAATGAAAAAGAAGGGTCCTAACACTGAGCCCTGTGGGACTCCACATCTGACCTCAATGGCACTCGAGTTGCAATGGCGCTCAGGCTTCCAGCTTACAATCTGAAATCTATTATGTAGATAAGACTGCAGATAAGAATGCCAGATACGTGTTTAATGCCTCACTTACATTTTCATGTACAAAAGAGTCTTAACGCACAAGATGAATCACACAATAGAACAGCAGTTGAAGACTTGCTCTCAAAGGCTTTCAAGATTACCTGAAGGAGAGAATCTACATCCGTAACTGTAGGCCTTCCTGTCCTAAAACCGTGTTGAATAGGGAATGTCTGTTATAGGATGTTATGCTATGATTTTCTTTGTCTTGGATGTTTACTCTCAAGTCCTAACAAGTAAACCACACATTTCTGAATAACTAGTCACTATCCTCAGTTCCCTCCTAGGACAAAGTTCTCTCACAATTCATACACTGTTTACAATAAAAAAATTGTTCAAAACAATTTGAAAGCAGTACTATGAGATTTTTTAAAGTTCTTGTGATTGCTTTTGCTAAGTAATCTATTGCAGATATATTTCCAGGTGGAAGTTGGGTGCAATAAATAATTGTTAACATACTCCTTAATTAAGATCTTTGCTGTGTCTTGTAGGTATATCGGGCAAATCGCAAGTTCTCTTTGCCATAGTCTACACAGCTCGATACCTGGATCTGTTCACGACATACATCTCGGCCTACAACACCATCATGAAGGTGTTCTTCCTTGCTGCATCTTACGGTACTATCTACCTGATGTATGTCAAGTTCAAAGCCACCTATGACCACAACCACGACACCTTCCGGTGAGTTTGCTGGCTTTAACCACAAGATAAGCTATGGTTAGTTCATTACCTGGTTCTAGAAATGTAATAGGCTTACACATTTAAAACGTTCGCTGCGGTATAAATTAGCATTAAATAAATTAAATTGTATAAATTAGCATACCCACTGAAATGCTAAAAAATGGATATTTTCGTACTATTCAGAGGCGCGCTGCGATGGTTAGGTTAGTTTGGGTTATCATAAATTTTATATGACTCATCTGGTATCGTTTGATTCATAACGAAACGAGGAAAGTCCTACAAACATATTTATGGATAACCCAACGTAACCTAACCGACGCAGCGCGCTGTAAAATAAGTGGTCTCCGTATAATACGAAAGTACCAAAAATTGTTTTGAATGCTTGATCAGTAAATGATGTCCAGATGTCCAAAAGGTAGATTGGAGATGAATAGGTACACATTTAAAAAATTAGGATTTGATGATGTTATTTCTGATAAATTGTAGTAGGCTACAACTGGTGCCGGTCCGTGTACTAGTGCCATTTAGTTTTTGGTCACACAACTCCTCAATCATTGATGGCAGTGGCGTATCCAGGGAGGGGGCCCAAGGGGGCCGGGCCCCCCCCGAAATTTTTTTTTAGTTACCCTGTACACACGGCACACGGGAGCGTTGCAACGCGCGTTCTAGAAACAGTAAAATGAGTGCGTACACACTACACAATACGTGTTGTTATTATATAAAATGCCGGATTACTGGAATGTTATCAATAAAAACACTTAAAAATGCAATTAAAACACGTCTCCGAAGATCGCGCGATCGGAAACCGCTATTGCCGCGATCGGGCATGACGACGATGACGTTTCCATAATCGAGGGAAACGATGATAACGTGTGCGGCCAAGAAAGATGATCATGATTTCGCCACGATCGTTCATGACGACGATGACGTGTGACCGCGGGAGACGATGATAACGTGTACACGTCCGCGGGAGATTTTCGTGATTTTGACGCGATCGTGCAAGTCGACGATGACGTTTCTGTGACTGCGGGAGTAGACAATGATGTTTACATGGCCGCGGGAAATGATAAAATCTGTGCCGCGACCGGTAAGACCACGATAATGTCTACATGACCACAGAAGATGTTCATGATTTTGCCACGATCACATAAGACGACGATGGCGTTTCCGTGACCGCGGGAGTAGACAATGATGTTTACACGGCCGCAGGAGATGATACAATATTTTGCCACGACCGCGGAAGACAACGATAATGTCTGCATGACCGCGGAAGATGTTCATGATTTTGCCACGATCACGCAAGACAACAATGACGTTTCCGTAACCGCGGGAGGCGATGATAACGTTTATACGTCTGCGGGAGATGTTCATGATATTGCCGCGATCGCGCAAGACGACGATGACGTTTTCATGACCGCGGGAGAGAATGATGATATCTACATGGCCGCGGGAGATAATCAGAATTTTGCCGCGACCGTGGAAGACCTCCCGCCAAAAGACGCCGGATTACTGGAGTGGCGGAATGGTACAGTGCCGATTATATAGAGTCTTCTGTACAATGTTTTATGATTAAAAAAATGACGGCAGCTGGTACATATAGTCTCTACTTCAGTATCCAATAGTCATTGCGTGTACATTACATATTTTTGGTCGAGTTTTCGATCACTGGACGACCACTAGTATGCTTTATTCTATAAGTTGAGTGTAGTTTTATTAGCTTGATTTATTTTATTAAAATTACGTCACGCAGATAAATAGTAGTTTAGGCAACTTGTTTAGATTTCAGAACAGGAAAAAACTAATTTTTAGTAGTAATACACCAATATTATTCTCTACTTTAGAGCCTCCAGAGGTGTTGCAAACTGCAATTTAGCACCATAAAATACCAACATTTTCCCCCGGGGGAGGACCCCCGGACCCCCCTTTGGTCCTGGGGGGTATTCCAAGCCCCCCAGACCCCCCGGATCGGGCCCCCCCCCAAAGCAGAATCCTGGCTACGCCACTGATTGATGGATACTTTTGACCAGTCAAATATTATTTTTTATGCTAGAAGTATTTTGGTAAGTGCTTCGTTTGCCTTGCAAACTACGTTAAAATTTTTTATCGGCCTGATGTGGATGACAGACCTCCCAAGAGTCGTCCATACTTTAACAGTGATATCACCTAGCAATATTTGCTTTGAAAAATAATAGTAATTTTGGATTGAGGATATAAAAAAACTAAAAAATAATGAAGGCTATACAAATTAAAAAACTTGTGTGGAGGCACCAGTATTTAACAATAAAATTGTTATGTGTGTAATTAAATAAATATATAGGATGGAGAGGACACAGCTAACTCACCTGATGGAAGGTTGCAGACGAGTCAAAGAACACATAAAACACACATATAATATTACTTGACATTTCGCCTCTTTCAGAGGCTTCTTCAGAAGTAGGCCTAGATGGTAGTTACAAGAACAACAGTTTTGATTAAACAGTAAACTGTTGTTCTTGTAACTACTATCTAGGCCAACTTCTGAAGAAGCCTCTGAAAGAGGCGAAATATCAAGTATTATTATGTATGTGTTTTATGTGTTCTTTGACTCGTCTGCAACCTTTCATCAGGTGAGTTAGCTGTGTCCTCTCCATCCTATATATTTATTTAATCCGAGCTAAATGCTTTTTCCTACAAACATAACCTTATGTGTGTAATTGTATTTTTGTCTAAATCTGGTGACTATGTTTAACCTAGTTGTCTACAGCTGAGTGGTTATAGTATTCACTTCCAGATGTCATTTGGCATAAAGCTACCAATCAATGCTCTCTAATAAAAAGTCCACTTTATATGGTAATAAAACTAGGGTTTGGACCGTTTTTAAAGTTTAAAATTTTAAAATTTAAAGTTTTAAAATTTTTTACAATGGAGTAGCCTATTGATTTAAAGTGAATCGTCGATTAAATCTCCCCAGATCTTATTTTGTCAGATGTAGGTACAGTGATTAAAGAGTGTTGCTTTAAGTAGTCTAAGTTATTATTTATGGGTTGGCCTGAACGTTAAAAATCTGTTCTCTATTGCAGAATCGAGTTTCTGATTATTCCCGCTGCTGCCCTAGCTCTACTGATCAACCATGCTTTTGATGTGCTTGAGGTAAGAAATTTCTTGTTTGTTAGTGAATTTCCCATTTAGGGGATAATCTATTACCGTAGGTTTCATGTCAAGACCTAGATCAGGACTGATGCACTTATCTTTTTGACGTCCCTAGAGACAAAAAAAAAACATCAAAAATATATGTGGTGTGTCGTTGATGAATATCATGAAACCAATATCATGAAATTTGGTATGAACGTGTAGGCCTAAACCTCAATCGTGCTCGCAAACCAGCATCGAACTATAAAAACAGGGATTATAAAGAGTTAAAATTGGATTTTCCCATTTAGATCCTTAAAACATAAAATGTTGCAACTTATATCTGAACCATTTTGTAAAGTTTAAAAAACAAATAATTTAGTAAGTTTTAAAAGGGGTTGCTGTCCACCTAATTAATGGTAGCCTATGTAGAAAATTCAAAAATACTGCACATTAAATTTTTTAAGTTATTCGTCTAAAAAACATTTGAGTAAAAAAGGAACACAGGCAAATATAAATTCTCTTAGTTTGCAGGTTTACTATGGCAAACCTGTGTGGCATTATGTATTAAAACACTTTATAACAAGTTAAGAGTCAAGTTCACTTTTTAACAAGAAAGATTCACTCCACTTGCTGTTAGGTTGGATATCATGAAGTTATCTTTACTTCCTTATTCCGGTGGTCATTGAAAACCTAGGCGGTCTTTGGCCTCGCCAACCTCCAGGATCAAATCAAATCAAATCAAATATGCTTTATTCATAAAGTACAGTGTTGTACATTGAATGGTGTCAACTAAATCTATCTTAAATTAATAATTTACAGATTTGCATACACCAGATCCTCTGTCTTCTGCCAGCTCTAGACCACACACTGGTGGCACATAATCGGTACCTTGATCTGTATCATCGTCGAATCCAGTAATAACACTTTCACTGTCAGATAATTCAGATTCACTAATATTCTCTACAAAACTATCGCTAAGATCATCAACATAACCTATCTCAGACTCTACAACATTTTGAAACAATGTATTTTCACTAACTGGTGAATGTCGACGATTACTATAAAGGTCTTGAATGAATATAAACTATATAAATAAATACAGTTGTAAATAATAATAGTCTGTTTGAGAAAACAAAACGGTTAACAACGGTTAAACGCTTCACGTACCGCACCAACAACTGACAAAACAAGCAAATTGAATAGCCTCAACAAAATCACTTGGCACAGAAAAAGTGCATAGAGTATAAAACACCGACTACACTGTTATATTCAATGACTATTTGGATTGAACTGACTGAAAATCCAGCGCTTAGGGATCAATCATAAAGGCAGTGGAATTGACTTTAGGCACATTTTGGGAACGTCCGATATATTTTCACTTGAAGACTTTATTCAGTATTCTGTATTTTTTTTTGCAATAAATTTTAGTTTTAAAACAAATCACCTCTGGGAATTATTTGTCTGGTCGCTTTGCGTGAAAAATCTTCTTTCTTCTCGGGCTTTGGCCAATTTAATCCTCTTCCAGACACATTCTGTGTCCCAAAACCCTAACAGCACGACTCCGCTCCCTCTACCGCCTGAACGATAAGGATCATTGGTATTGTCTCTAACCTTTCCTCTCGCCTTCACCAGGAAGTTTTCATTCCTTTATTGCTTTTCCCTTTTCTTTTTTTCAATTTAATGGCCTGTAGGCCTATATGTCTCTGCTTCTTCCTATTTCCCTAGCTACTTTCCTTAATGTCTCAATTATTTCCTTGTACCTCATCAAGTTTTATTTCATGATCTCTAAACCTTTCCTGTCCAAAACTTCTTCCAGTTCTCTCCTATTTGCCTCCTGAAGTGGACAATTCATCAAAACGTGCCTTCTTCCTCTTCCACCACGTTAAATCTCCGCAAATTCGCCTTCAAATTTTCAATCACGTCCTGTGTCAAACTGCATCCAATAATGGTCTACCTCCCAATCTTGTTCAAGTCTCCTGATTTTTGGCACATATCAGAACATTTCCCTTCCTTTCTCACTCTGCTCCCAGCGCATTTGCTACTCAACTAATGTCTCCTCTCTTTGACACTCTTGCTTTCCGATATAGTCCTACCCGCCTCTTTGTCTTACAAAATCCCAATGCTTTCTTCAATGAGCAGGTCGAGTGGTATGACTCTGGTCAAAACCCTAATCGCATAACGCAATACTGTGTTCTAAGCTTTTCCTACTTTTAACAAATCATCTGTCTGATGTAATGTGATAATAATCAGTATACCTAAATAAATAAAATTTCAACCTGAAATCATAGAGGTAGTCATATTCAGGAAAAGTAAAAAAAGTTACAAAAATAGTGGTACACTAACAGACAATCCTCAGCTGGTGGTTTTAGTTTGTTAGCTTTATTGCTCAGGTGTGAAACGCACAAAAAAACTTCAGAGTTTTCAATAGGATGAGAACTCTACCTACTTGTATTAAGTCGGTGTAAAAACCAATGTTAGCCTATTGAGCCTACCAGCTGAGAGTGTTACGTCACTGTCCAGACACTATTCACACTTGCATGAATTGTCTTCAGATACTGTGGACATTCAGCATCTACCTGGAGTCTGTCGCTATCCTACCTCAGCTGTTCTTGGTGAGCAAGACTGGTGAAGCTGAGAGCATCACGTCGCATTACCTGTTTGCTCTCGGCTCCTACCGTGCGCTGTACCTCCTCAACTGGATATACCGATACTACGCTGAAGACCATTACGATCTTATCGCCATCGTCGCTGGAGTTGTACAGACCGTGTTGTACTGTGACTTCTTCTACTTGTACATCACCAAGGGTAAGGGGCAAATGATTGTATGAATATAGTGTGGTTTGGCTTGTTTGTTAATATTAATATCATGATGCTTAGAGTGAAGTTTGATGCAGGGGAAGTTAACACTGAGGCGTGTTTGCTATATTTCTGAGTAGTGAAAAAGTTTTAACAAAAATATTATATTAAAATAAAAGTTAAAGAAATAATCTAGACTTTTCTTCAAATTTAGAGTATATTGGCTGCCTCACTAAATGACTATCTATGTTGACCTAGTACACCATTCACCAAGACAGTAATGACAAAATCAAGTACGGTACGCCTGATTTCTCTTTTTTTCTGAGAAGTCCAGTTGGTTTAATTCTATTTACGTCAGTGAAACAAAGTAAAAGAGGTAAGGTATTTTGTAAAATAAATTTGCTCCTTTTCTAAACAATATATTTAATGTTTTTTTGAATGGTGAGTGTTTTAAAGGATGTTATCAATAACCTGGTAGAAGTTCAAATAACCTAGGGAGTTATTTTCTTACAAAAAAATATGATTGAAATTTTAAGGTCGAAAGGAGCTACCGGTAGTTTTTATGTTTTAAAAAAATAATTTTATTTTATGAAGAAAAAAGCGAGACAAGTAAGAAATTAAGTGAATCATTCTCATATTGTAGAACCAAAAGTCAAAAGATCTTTTAATATATGCACATTTAAATTTTAAACTTCACAAGTTTAAGTAGTTACCTATTATTTATATTGCTAAGTTTTTCTTTTGCTTTTTTGCTTTTTAATTTTTAGTCTGTACAAAATTTAGGCTATAGCTGACATTTACCGTTTTTAAATTGTAGCAATGGATCCCAGCATCACTTTGAAAACTTCCTTTTGTCATGCAGATGTATTTTGTAGGCAGCATGAGTAATGAAATGTTCTGCCAGTACCATCAACATCACTATTGTAGCTCTACGCACAATAGAATGTGTGTTCTTCTTCATTGGCTTTAGCCTTGGCGCTGGTTCTACCTTGATATTTCTTTTTTTGCAGTCTTAAAAGGGAAGAAGCTCCAGTTGCCAGCTTAGAGAGGAAAAGGAAGAAGAGTCTAAGACTCGAGTCATGGTCATAAATGGCCCTGCAACTTATGTATTATAATATTCTGTCAGTTGAAAGTGGGCTACGTTGTAGTACCCACTGTAATAGACTACACAACATTTTATTTATAATGGATGAATGTAATAAATAGATTAGACGTAGGCAAACGTATTTCATTCTCCCAAAGTATGTTAACGCACATTTGAGTTGATTACCCCTCGTATCCCCATTGTTGTTTTTTAAATGTTTACGTGTAAATAGCTTTTGGCTATTCGGCCGCTAGAGTTTTAGGGTGCCGATGGCAGTTTGGGGAATATTTTTATTCTAGTAAATGATCTATAGGTGAAAATTTGACTACCTACGATCTTTTTTTTTAAGCGTATTAGCTGTTCCAGATTGAATTATTTTTTTAAATTTTAGGAACTGTATATCACAATAGAATGACTTTATTATACGTCTGCATTGTTATATGTAATATTTTCAACATGCTGTATAAAAGGTACTTAAATGTAGTAATGAACATTTAGAAGAAAAAAACTAAATTTCCCATCTGTGTGAAATAATATTTTTACTGTTAATGTATTTATAAACACTACTAGCTGTACCCGCGGGCTTTGCCCCGTTTAACTTCATACTTGAGCTCGTTCGCATGGCTCAATCACGTCCTGGTTGAAGTTCGTTCGCTACGCTCACTCACCTTTACGTTGGAGCTCGTTCGCTGCGCTCACACGTCCTGGTTGAAGTTCGTTCCCTACGCTCACTCACCTTTACGGTTGGAGCTCGTTCGCTGCGCTCACTTGCCTTCGGGTTAGCTCGTTCGCTACGCTACCTCGCCTCCGGGTTGAAGTTCGTTCGCTACGCTCACTCACCTTTTGGTTTCAAATTAGCTGTTGTCAAATATTTAAAAAAATAATAGTGCTGCACTCTGTTGGTAATCCTTGTAACTTTAATGCTATTGAATATCATAGAACAGAACCAACCTGTTTAATTGAAACAGCTGTTATGATTCATTAATTCCATTTAAATATGAGTACTCATTAGGTTAACATGGGAAACTCCAGAGCCACTGGGGCGGAGCCCGAGAGTCCGATCAGAATAAAAACCACTTAGTTTTCCTATTTAATGCCTAAAGAATCAGTGTACCAAATTTCAGCCTCCTAGGTAAGTGGGAAGTGGGAGAATTAGTGATGAGTGAGTGAGTGAGTCAGTCAGTCAGTCAGTCAGTCAGTCAGTCAGTGAGGGCTTTGCCTTTTATATATATAGATTTATAAACACCCCCACATTACACGTCAGTAGATTGATAAAACCTTAATAAGAATGGGTTTATATCTGTTTAAAATGGTCTTGTTTAATTCTTTCTTAATTGATTGGGTGTGCGGTGTGTGTTGAATTTTTGTGTTGATCATTTTAGGTTAAGTCTATACAAAAGCCAAAGACGTAGGTCTTTATTAACAATCATAGATATAACGTTTTCCGTTCCTTTTTGGAGATTTGTTACATGCATTTAAATGTAAGTTGATAGAATTGACTGGATTTGAACTAGATTCAAAAATGGATTTTGTATTGTTTTTAACATTTTTCATTTGTTACTTTAGTATGTACAAATATAAAGGACCTGTAGCTCTAAATAAGTCTTAGTTGAAATAAACTTGTAATAATTTAATGAATAAGAAATATAGTCTATTGTATTTGTGTAATCTTTTGAATTGTACATTTTTCTTTTTATTTATGTTATAAAATATCTTTCAATGTTTTGATTCTTTTATAATAATCTTATATGCTTTGCTAGTTTAACTTTCACCAAACTTTGTTTATGTCATGGCAAAATATTTATGCCTAATAAATAAACAATTGTATATTGCGGAGCTATATACACAACATGATTTAGACTTAAATTATTGAGCACCTAAAAACTATTTTCTGTTCATGTTTCATGGTTCGTAAAGAAACAAGTTCACAAGAGCTTTTTATAACACTTTCTATGAAGAAAAAGAAATGTTGATGATTTTTTTATGCAATAAAGACAGTTTAAGGGCTATGCGCAACAACGAAGAAAGAGGAAACCATATGAGTGTGAAATGTCTTGTGTAAATGAATTTTTCTTTATTATTATAGATCTTCTATTCTGAATTTTATCTTTTATTTACTCTCAACTTCCTTGGCTAAAGACTTACATATAGATTGTCTTTGTGGACAAGCAAATTAGTATTAGAACAACACTAAAATTATGTATCTACAGTTTCTTGTTAGCACTTTACTCCCTGAGTACCTGTCAATCAGTTTCTGGCATTCTAAAACTCTTTAAGATCTCTAGCCGTTTTGGTGCTAACATAAGATTATGTAATGGTTTAGCAAAAGTTATTTTATGTATATGCTGAATAATTGTGAATAAACATTTTTATTAATGTACTCATGTGTTTTATTTGTAAAGAAACGCTGGAAAAGTGCCGCTTAAATTGTTTGTAACACTGTTAATGTTTTTACCTACGACCTTTTTTTAAAGTAGTCGTTTCAGTTCTTATCTTAGAATTGAAAAGATTCACATAACAGCATTGTTTACTTACTTAACAACACAAGTAATGTACCAATGAGGGTCAAGGATTGAGAGAGAAGAAGTAAAATTGTAATACTTTGAACTTTAAATAATCAGCTGTTTAGACCAATTTAATTGTTGAGTGGTGCATTAGTGTTTGGTTCAATGATTTGTTGCATCTCTGTCAGTAGAAATGAGATGTTATAAACCAAAACATGACGTCTCTTAGAAGTTATGAGTAGTGCATGTTAGTAATTAAAAAACTGTCGGTATAGTAGTGTAGGCAACTTGTGTAAATAGTCGACACTTGTAGAAGTTTTTAAGGCACTCGCCAATGCTCGTACCTTGAATTTTTCTACTTGTGTCGTTAACACTTAAGCAATCGTCGCGTAATAATGCTTAATTAATTAAACTCCTCTGAACCCCCGGAGTGTGGATACAAATGTGTGATGCATAAGTAATAAGAAGGAACTGTTATTACTGTATGGTAAAATACTCTTACTTTGCTATTCTCTTTAGTAAACTAGATAATTTAGGGAATTCTAAGTTTGGGAATTGTTGTATTTTTTGAGAATTCCACCAAAGGAACCAAAAAATTTTTGGAATTTATATAGCCAAGTTGATCATCTTCAATGGACAAATAATTAAATTTCTAAATAAGTTCCAGACCAGTAACATCAGCTGTTGAAAAGTATTGTTACTTATACTTCCTAAAGCCGTTCTTTTTAAGGACGTTGGAAACACATGTTTCTTACTAAAATCAGCCAGTTTTTATCTCCAAGTGAACTCTGCCCTTAAGTTTGCCCGATGTGGAATAAAAGATTCTATTTGCATCCAAAGGTAAGTAAGCCACACTTTTTATTTTGCACTTTGGATTTATTGTTTTGTCAAGCTATGGTGGTGACTGGTGGTTGGGTTGGTGAAATGTCACTAGAAAATGGTTACTAATTCAGTTATTTTATCACTAAGCCTGTATTGTTTGAAAGTAGATATTTTTAGTGATTCTCATTTAGGTATAAAAAAAACTTTTGAGTTGTGCTCTTTTTTACTTTGAAAAAGTATAAACTGTACAAAATGAATACTGCAATTCACAATTTTATAATAATAGACTGGACTACATTTAAATGATTCAAGTAAACAATTATATAAGTGGCAAATTTGCATCCATAAAGATTAAACAGTCACAATTCATTGTCTTTCAGTGTGATACGTCGGAAATCTTCCGACTTTAGCATAAGAACTTCTAATTGTTAATTTATGAAAGTGAAATATTCTCCATACAATCTGTTTCAATACATATCTATTAGGACCGGGGTAACTTATAAGCCTGGCCCTCTGTTTGAAAAAAAAATGACCAAGGGTATACAAGAAATAAAAAGACCAATAAAGGGTTCTTGGGCCCTCTAATAGCCAGAATCTTGTTAAAAACATTTAACATATAGGTTAAACTTATTTGCTGGTTTGAAACTTTTGGAACTTTTCAAGTTAACGTGCAAATTTGAAACTAAGAAAAAATAAAAAAAGTTACTGGTCATAGTATAAAATATTTATTGGTTTAAACAGGCTCTTTAGTCAACGAATTTAGGCTTCTATAGATTCAAACTAAAAACCATTCACTTTTACTTGTTATTTACCGGTACTTTAGTTCCTTATGGTTTACTTATTTTAACTTATAATATTTTCTAACTCTAAATTTTGTCAAAGGGTTATGGCTATTTACTCAATTAACGAGACATTAAATTATTAACTAGAGAAACCATGCTGCTCCACAGCGTTGAAATAAATATTATATCCGATAAATAGTCAAATTTATGTTTTTTGATTGAATAATATAGTATCTTGAACTTAACTGATTCAAACGATCAATAGCTCAAATTAAAACATAATGTTACTGATTATTTTAAGTCTAAAACATATAAAAAAAAGAAACATACTGGAGCAATGATTTGTAATGATAGAAAAACCTTATAAAAATAATTTTTATGTTGGTTGTTCGCCTTGCAATTGCTTGAAACTCGTCCGATTTGAATAACTATTAGCTTAAATGAAAGAAGGTATTTCACTAAATGTTCTTAGACCAAAATATATAGGATTATATAATTATTAATACATCTTAATTTGAAGCAAGAATTCAAATATAAATCAAATTTCAAATATATCAAAATAGATCAATTGGTTTTTGGTCAAGTAATACAGTAGATAAATATATGCTTGATGTGTAATTTGTGCGTGCATACCTTCAATTTGAGACTCTATCATGAAAATCAGTCGGGTAGAAGAGCCAAACAAACTCGGAAAAGAAAAACCAATTTTTTAAATATATAAGATTGTAAACAATATAGTACCTGACAGTGCAGGCTGGACAGATGGTAAATGCAGCTCATCTGTTTCAGGTAGCGGGAAAGTACGATTGTTTGCCGAGTCCGCAGCCGACTCCATAGTGTAGCCTTCTAGTTACATTGAACAGATGGCCTAACGGAGGTGATACAAATCATTTAAATAAATATACAGTTTCAAAAAGACAATGAACAAGATTCAATGGGAGTGTTGAAATAAAAAAAAGTGAGACATTGAATTTACATGGTTTCCAAGTGACTGAAAAATTATTTATATTAAAACCTAGTTGTTCTAAATCTATTTTTGTAAATGTATTTCTAACATTTGAACTAAAAAACTTTCTGAAAACTGAACATAGGTAAACGGCATTGACAAATTTCAAGATACAATTTTTTAATTTATACAGATTTATTTCTGTCATAATACTTGAGATTTATCTCTTTCATAATTGATTGTATATAACTTTTGGGCCATCTTTTTAATTTAGGTACCTATTTTTAGTTTGTAGGAAAAATATACTTTGTAAGTTTTTTTAATGTGACTGTTTAATCTTTGGGTGTTTATTATTTATAGATAAAACAATTAAAATATAGAATTCCTGGACTTTTGTTCAATTCCTAGTGCAAGTGGTTTTTAAATTTAAATGAATTGTAACTTTTAGAAAGTGTAGTGAACAGCTTAACCACAGCCAAATTACATAATAGAAATTGGTGTTAGTGAAACTGTTAATAGGGGGCTAATATCATAGACAAATAGAATTAATATAGACTGGCAGCAGTGCTGTGGTTAGCATATGTTCCGGCGCCCACCGCTAGGAGTGTCGTGTAGTTACGGCGCTAGTAGCATACAGCTCCTGTGATCCTTGCCTGCAGCGATGTGCGCCGTAACTACACGGCACTCCTAGCGGTGGGCGCCGGAAGTTTCCTTTGTCAGTCTATATTTATTCTATTTGTCTATGCTAACATATCTACAAGATGGGAAGAACATTTATTTACCATATGTGAACCTATATTTAAAAATGTTCAAATTTCGAACCATCATTATCCATTTATCATCAACCATGATTATAATGCTAAGGTGGTATTCAGGATGTTCTGTAAAAAGCTGTATCTCTCTGGATTTCATCTACCTGCATATTCATAATGCTATATTTTTTTAAATTTTTTTTGTGCATGTGAAAACAAGTTTTAGAGGGAAATATTTGGAACACAATTTTTGACAGCATAAACTTTGTGTTTACTGTATACTCACCTCGTAATCCCGCACTCGACTTTGTTTTGCACGGGAACAACCATACTCGTCCAGTTAACACCCATTTGCCGAACTAGTGACCTAACATAATTTTTTACAAGTGATCAGTTACATTTTTTGATATCTTGTTTAGTTTGTGCTTTATCTGATATTTAAAGTCTGTACATTTACAAAAATGATTTTTTCTAGCATTATTTTTGTTCTTTTTGTTCCAATACGGTAACTCTTCAACTGTTCAGCCAAAAAATACATGCCGGATTGAGGGCCGTATATCATCAAATCCTCTTCAATAATATATATGTATATATTTATTACATTATAGATTTTTGTCAAATTTTAAAGCAATCAAAATGTTTACTGCTAATAAAATTCAAATTAGATAAAAATTTAATTTAGTGTTGAAAATTGAATCTTAATTAGGACTACTGACTATCTAGTAAATAACATTTCAATTTTTTATCATTAACAAGCAATTTAATGGCAGAAATATGCACCATAATGTACACATAATCAGTATTTGGGGTCTAAAAAGCACATTTACTCGTTTAAATATTGGATATTAGTAGTGTTCAAATTTCATTCAGCATGACTTTCTCCAGTTCTTTGAAAAAATATTCCTCACAGATGAGAAAAATTAAATCAAGGGTGTCTCTTTGTAATGTTATGTAAACTAATCTGTCCAGAACAGGATTGATAACGAGTCAACCTAATATCGTGTAAACTTGGTTGGTTTTGGATGGTTTTGGTTTGTTTTCGTGAATCGTGTTTAAACAAGCCTTTTTCCCGCGGGCATTCATTGATCTGTCAAACCGTTAGTTCAACATTTCCCCACTGAGCGCTAGTGAATCTTACTATTTATCAGTGTTGCCCATAAAAAATAAAACTATGCTCAAGTTGTGAGAGCAACGTTTGAGATTATAATTATATTTTCGTGTTTTAAAAATACGTTCAAGCATATTCAACCAACCAAAATATTTAATATTCATTGAAACAATTCAAAAATGTCTGAAAAGTAATTTTTTAGTTCTGAGTTAGTATTTGTTTGGTTGGCTGCAGTGCTCGTCAAAATCAAAGATGGTTGAGGTTCGGGAGAGTAAACGTCAGTGCGTACTAGTTTTGCGTAGTTTGTAGTGTTGTTGGATAACTATAAAGGTAAGTTTCACAGACTGTTAATTTAATTCTTAAACAACACATTTATAAATATTTAATTTTAAATTATAGCTATCGTTTGTTAACCAAGGATAATTGGACTTGTCAATAAGTTTATTCTGCCCGGGGTTCTACTATGCCGGGCGTGGTAGGGGATGTTTAATGTAGATATCAAACAGTAAATTTTATTTTATAGGGTTACAAAATGTATTAGTTTGTCTTAAACGAATCCGATAATTTGTAACATTACATTTTACATTACAAGTCGAGGTTTAGGTTTAAGAAACAGTAACTTGCATTGTTGCATTGCCTTTCCATTTACCCCCTTGTGGATTCAAGCCATTTGTTGCCATCGCCAACTGAGTAAACTGTTGTGGTGAAATTAGGCTCAATGAAGGATATTTTTATTTTTATCAATCACTACATTGAACTACTGTATTCCTATCTAAGCTCTACCATAGTTGACAACGTCAACTGATGACTTTTTTAGGTTAGCATTTGGTATTTAACTTATTCCCTAGTAACTTGTCAATTGACTTATACCTGGGGGCCCTGTAATATAAGTAGCCTAAGGCCTATATAATATTTTGCTAAGCTTATGGGAAATTTGAACGCCTATTCTTCGCTCAACTATTTAATTAACCAGCCAATTATTTGTGGGATTGAGTTAAATTTAAAAAAAAATATAAGTTACCAGCTCTTAATTTAGGCCTACGGTATTTTCTTTAGCGTAGGCCCCAATGTCAAGAAACTAAATTACACAATAAAATTAAGGCTAGCTATAAGTACCTACGGCATTTTGTATTTATTTCCAATAACTTAATTAAAAGTAACTTTTGGTTCTAACTTACACACACAACACAACACCTAAAAACAGCTTAAACTAACCTGTCCAATAACTAAGAAGCGATTAAGTTAATGTGTTATTTTAGCCTGTACTTATAAAGTAATTTTAACAACAGCTGATCACAAAAAAAAATATTTTGTAAAAATATTTTAAACATTCCATTCGGGTTCGTTTTGTTACAATGTTGATTCATTTTCAATTTTAATTTTTCACACAAATACTTATTACCTACGGTACTTAAAAATACTCAACACTATTCAATGAATTTGTCTTTCCAGACCAGCCACTTCCCAAACCAAGTAAAAAGCTTTAATTTTTTAGTGTGTTTTTGAGTTTTGATGACAAGGCCCATTCCAGTCTACTGGTCAACGGCTGCTTTCTTCAAGGTATCAAGGTACCATGCCTAAAAATTATTCATTTTCTCTCTTAATTTGCTAACAAACACTTAATTATTACGTACACAAATACTTTACATTAGGCTGAACAATGACTTTTATCTTTCTAAACCATACCATGCTTAAACAGTCCTTTTAAAAGGAGGTGTATTTAATTTGAGGAAAAGAAAAAACACTTTTACAACAATACATTAAAAATATCAAGAATAAACAGTATGTGGATTTAACATAACCTTTAATTTTTATTTTAATATATAGTAGGCTAACTTAAGCAATACCAACACAAACCAAAATATTGTTTAAAATGATGAAAGCCCAATGTGTCTAATAGAATAGACCCTTTCAAATAAATCCAAATGTAACACTACATAACTTACCTATTTAACTTAGTTATCATTATGGTGATTCATGGATTTCAACATCAGCCCTTGTCATGTTTGAGTGTAAGCTAGGTACTCTATTACAGTTCTGCCTGTCAACTGGTTTCATGTACAGTACAACCAAATTGATCATAGTCTACCATAAAAAAAATGTAGGGTACTGTAATGCAAATTTTATTCTCCTTAAACTAGCAGAGGTACTTTACATTGCAACACACCGATTAACTTGTACAATATAGGCCTAAATATTACTTATGATAGACCTTAAACATGGATAAAACATGACTTTTTTTAAGTATAGAGGTACCTACTGAGTAAACTGTCTTTCTTCGCAAAGGTGACACAACTATCAAAATAGCCATACTAGGCCTAGCTGAATAATATTAAACTTTTAATCAATATTATTGGTTAGTAACACTTGACCAACATAGTAATATATATTGTGATGGCTTTACTGTTGGATTGGAATGCATAATGTAAGTAAATTATCCGTGGTGTTTGAAGGGTTAATATCACGATTACTAGAAAAATACCGGTATGGATCATAAACATAAACAAAATGACGTTGTTGGCCCCAATCCTATACTAATAGCATTGAACATATGATTTGGCAGTTCCATTTAAGCAATGTTAAATAATGTTTATTTTCGGGCCAAAAACGTCATTTGTTTATGTTTATGATCCATACTGGTATTTTTCTAGTAATCGTGGTTAATATAGAATTTATTTGGATTATTGGGAGTAGTTAAGAAATTATGACTCACGATTTCATAACAGCCAGCCTGTCAATTTTTTCTAGTTACTATACTTTAAAAACTCAATTTAAACTTTCCTCTGACAAGATATGCTTGAAGGTATGCTGTAATTTTTTTATTAAAGATAGAAAGACTCATGTTTTACTTGTGATCTAAGTTTAAAAAGTTCTCTCAGAGTAAACTTCAACTTTTTTCTAAATCAACCAGATATTTTAAAGGCTTGAGTTTCAATACTTTTATGACAAGTGCTTATAAAATTTGAGAAATAATGTAGGCACCAGTCCTTGATATTCTCATTAATTACCGGCATTGGAGTTCCTCCCCTTTTCCAACACATACTCTTTTGTTTGGGAGTAGGGGGACCTAAGCATATATTATTCCAAGCAAAATTCGTAAATTTAATTTCAAGCTATAGGCCCTATTACTTGGTTTCCATTTTTAAATTGTCAATAATCTTAGGTAGATTGTAAAGGTCTAAAGAATACACAACAAAATGCACCCCAGGTAATCTTATCCCAGGAGTGCTGATCCGTAATTACTGCCCGGCTACCTCGTACCTCCGTTGTAATGAAGGTAAATTACACGTTCGACCGAGCTTACCGTTACCTCGCCTTGGCTAATTTATGGATCGATTCTGCGACTCAGTAGTTGTTCTTTTTGTTGCTGTTTGTTTTTTCTGTTTTTCTTTTGAATTATTATCAATCAATAAACAGAATTTATATTTCAATGTTAGATTTTTATCTTATGGTAATTATTTATACTGTACCGGTACCTATCAAAAATATTTTCTTACACAAAAGTGAAGATTGCAATTACCTACAGATAAAGAGTTTAGAATCAATATTCTAAATTGGTTTTATGTATAATTTAAAATTCCTTTAAGAACCGTCCAAAATTTAAAGGTTTGCACAAAAAATGGTTCCATAACCAGTTTTATTAAAATAATTCTTTTTTTTCTTGTTTTTGCAATCAAAAGTAATTGTTTAAGACTGTCTTAAATTAAATCTTGTGTAATATTGTGGCATATAGGCCTAAACTGAATTCATGCAGGCAAAACAAACTCCTATATAGTCCTAGAGCTCTCAATAGCCAGAGCCAGCCTATTTACTCCAACAGGATGTGGGTATGGGGACCTCATAATTGACTAAGAGGGTTATAAAACCAACAGTTTCTCTGGTAGGTCAAGAATACACAAACAATTTGTGCACCCGAATTTGTTTCTGTAACAATTGTTATGGATTTTTGTTTTGTTGTGTAAAACAAAACATGTACCGGTAATTGAAAACTTTCCATCTGAACTTAGTCCAAGCGCACGAACCTCAATTATTTAAAGGAGTTGTTTTTTTATCACATTTAGAAAATATTTACGATGCAGCAGCTTTTACATTTGTTTTGATTTATAATGGTTTGTATACCTTTTTCACTCTTATCATAGATTTTCAATTTTTACATCACGATAAAGTTTTACAATATTTTTTATTCTGCCACACACCCGATTGCAAATAGGTACTTATACCAAAGATATTTTCATTAAAATAACCAATAACTATGGTTCAGTTTTGCCTATATAATACAGTTCCTAGGTTTTTTTGTACTAGGACGCTAGGTACGAGCCGGGTTTGTTTTTCGCATTACATTACTTCAGGCTAGACCTAGGGGTTGTGGCATTATCACTTGGATAAAATCCATTGGTGATTTGGTGGGATTTGAAACCCCCGGTGCTTCAATCAGAGACCGAAGTCCCGTGCTCTAAGCACTACACCAGCTCGCCCTCTCTCTATAATACAGTAGGTAGGCCTAGATAAAACGATAAAAAACAGATAATTATCTTAAAAATTCCTCTCTGTTGTGAAGCACGGACAGATCACTTACCCGGTATAATAGTATAGTATTTTGCCGCTTGTTCAGCTTGATCTTGGCCGAAGCTGTCAAGATTGTTCAGTTAAGTAAATTGAATTTCACTGTGAAACCTTAATTTTTTGTAGGAAAGGGAAATGTCCTAAATGTGTACACCAAATAACAAAAATTTCCATTATAACAAAGTCATTGAAACAGTCAAAATTAAAAATGAAATTAACAAGTATTGATTTTGGAATGTCTGATAAATTCATCTTGGATGTTTTTGTTGGTTAAACATCTGTTGCCTGTTGGATACCAATTAATCATAAGATAACTACTGGTGGTTGGTGGTCCTGTCCAGCTGAACAGTGACTATTCAGAAGGAGATAGGGATAACTAGATCATCTCAAGGAAGCAGTTGTGGCAACTGCGAGAACGTAAATTCCCCCACAATGACTAAAGTTACCCCACAAACGCAACTTGACTATTTGGGACAGGGTAAGAGTTGATTTGTGTTTAACATAGATCTCACATGTTCAAATTTCTTCCTCCCGGTTTCTGTTTCAAAAATGTTTGTTTTATAACATTTTTAATAACACACTAATTAATAATTACATTATAATATGAATGTAAACATTTAATTTAAAAAAATCTTATACACCGGCAGCAAAAGTAGCTACAATACTTAAATTTAGTAAAAATTAAAATACGTTTCTGAATTTTCTGTTTATTCAAAGTGCTTTCTGTACCAAGATAGAAGACTGACTTCCTCTTTGTATCATAGCCG